TTAATAAACATCTAATGTTTAAAGTTGTATATCTCCATGTAAAGAGCACAAATGTTTGCCATTGAAAGATACAAACGAACATCTGTCAAGTACGATATGCACTGAAACACAATATTTTGATAAACGCCTCAAAGAATTTCACAACAATTAGATCTGTTTAGTAAATCAAAAAGATTAAGTATCAACAAAACTGATATTTGAACACCAGATTGATCAAAAATAGGCCAAATATGAAGATTTTCATGGAGACATTGAAAAAGAACATGAACAAGATCAAGTGTTCCAGAAGGGTAAAGACACTCGCCAAGTAAATCTTGTTCACATTCAAGTAATGTCACGTCCTCATCGCGAGAACGAGGGTGGTGAAAACACTACAGAACTAAAAACATTGTTTGGTTTACGTCCTATTAACAGCTATGGTCATTTAAGGACGTGCCAGGTTTTGGTAGTAGAGGAAAGCCGGAGTTCCTGGAGAAAAAACCACCGACCTACGGCCAGTAGCTGGCGACTAAAACCATTGACCCTCACATCACACAAGGAACCCTGAAGGTGGTGTAGTTCATTGTTAGTGTAGCTGTAGTCCAAGCCTTGTGTGCCACAGCTCTTTTTCTTGCGCACTTAGTGCACTATGTGAAAAGGATAGTCTACACTTAACTGTGTTTTTCAGAAACTTTTTTGTAGATTGGTCTCTTTTAATATAAATATATTAAATCAAACATTTCAATTTATTGTAAGTTACGTTTTGTACTGGGATGTAGCAATCGTTGGACAATCATAAGCAAACCAGTGTTATCTTGAGGTTTTGTTAACGAGTCTGTAAAACTACATAGACTACCCAATTTAAAAAAATTATATTTGACTCCAGGCATGCTACTGAATTATGCTTATAAATAAACACTATTTCTATCTCTGACAAAGAACTAATCCATGTAACATATGACTATGTTACAAATCTTGGCTAAAGCACATTTATTTTTGGAGTTAATTGTTCATTGTATTAAAGCTATATAGACATCAAACATGTGTTTGTCTCAGCCTACATGCAGCTGTAAAAAGAAAAGAAAGAAAACAAAATATTACCACTTTCATTTCAATCTTATTATAAATCTTTAATAAAGGTTTTAAGACAATCAGAATGTTACGATTCATAATACAATACACTGTAATGAATGCGCAATGTATATTTCATTATATGATAGAATAATTGAAGTGTTATAACGTTTATTATAAGGTATGAATCAATTGATATTTCAGGTACACACGTTTTATATATCATAAGGAACTACAAACCTAGTGTCAAAATTGAGGTGTGAGAAGGATACATTATTGCAGATAATTTTACATCAAAAATAACCAATCTGTATAGAAATTACAAAAGGCTGTTAAAAACTAGGCCCAATTTTTCATAATAACTTAAGGTTCAAAATTACACATTTTTGTTTCTTTTTGTAATGATTTTTTTCATTTGGTCTTGAACTCTTAATTGTATTAATTTTTCATAAGAACATTTATTTCTATGAAATTATACTTTTAATAAGACTGAAGAAAAATTCACATATTTCAATTTTTTGTAAACAGAAAACATCAACCCTATTCAGTAATTTACAATAAAAAGTATAAGGTTGGACACGTACTGACAGGGCAGCTGAATTTTGGGATGATTTGTTTTTCTGTCGAAAAATAAAGGTCAGAGTTCAATAGCAATTTAACACATTAAGATAAAAATTTGAAACACTGTCCACAGGACTTTGTCTGATTATTCATATCAAAAGTAAAACTTAAATGTTCTTGTACCTAAAATGAGCCCAATAAAACATTCTGACCCTCATTAAATTTTGTAACAAAAGGATGTTATTTATTAGTTAGCTAAAGAAGTTTGATACAAGTAAAATGTGTCCTGTAACAAATATAGCGGTGATATAAAATATGGATTTTAAGGCTTTGGACTCATTAAATCAGATCCCACATATACATATATTTTATTTCTAAGGGATAATCATATTCTTTTCGATTTTGAAGGATTTAGAGTTCATTAAACAAAAGTCATACATTACAGTACATCCATAATGAATCATGTTTCTGTAAACACTATGGTGTCCTAAAGTTTAAAAAAAAATGAAACCATTTCCTACATATTAGCATGTAAATAGCATTTTGTTGCAATTGATGAGATTCCTCTAAATAGAACTTATGCTACAGAAATACGGAGCTTAGTTAATCCAGTCACCAATACTCTAGTTGTATCGCTATAAAGCCAACATTTTATGAGACAGGTCACCTTTTTTTCCTGACATTTGTCCAAGCAATCTAGTGTCACGAAATCTAGTGACTTTTGCTGGAAATGAAGGTGGGTTGGATTATCAAAGCTTGTCTATATAACAAAAACAGTCCTTAAGTAAACATCTATATTTCACTTGAACATTTTGAAAGCTTGTAGTTAGAAATATTCTCACAAATAAACAAACAGTGGGCTACTTTAAAAGCATTTGCAATGTACGTAACAAAATCTGAGAAAATTAAAATGGAATTTACAAAAGTTTGCGATCACATTCTTTAACATGCAAACAAAACATATAATCCTCATGTTTTTTTCTCCTTTCATTCCGAAATCTTGAGAAAAGAAATATTTCTTATTGACAATCACAAGCAATCTTATAATATGGCCTCTTGCTTAGATAAAGAGCATTGAACACACATGTTTTATAGATTGAAACAGATCCGTATTTCCCAGTTGTTTTAATGACCCTGAGCAAAAGGTCTGAACTATAACAATGATATCTTACAAATATCTCCTGAAGAACATAGCAAGTAATGAGCTCTGAAATTCCTTGGAAAGACGCCCGTCTATCAAACTTTAAACTTCCCAATAATGTATACATTTAAAACTGGGTAGACTGGAACAGCTAGTATAAAGGATCAAACAGACATGGTGTTCAAGGGAGGATCTAGACAGAAATAAAAGATGTACTCTGAACTCCATGGAAGGATGCCAGACGATCAAATATTTACACAGTGTACTGTATTGGTACACATTTAAACAACCAGGTAGAATAAAACATCCTTCAACAGAAAAAATACATATCTATATCTATATTCTTCAAGCACTTGAAGCTGAAACTTAATATTTCTATCACAATTTTTGCACTGTGTCTTTCTTTTACATGTGTCAAATAAAAAGAAAAAACTCCTAAAATTATACACATTATCAAAATAGTTTACATGCACACAAACAGTATTTCTGTACATCACATTTCAAAGGCATTGAACCTCAAAAAAGTGTTGACAGATAGCTTAGGAAAATTGTCAACAACTAAACAAAAATAACACATATCAGTAATTGAATCTTGTTAAAGTTCTTTTCTTTTCTCAATTAAAATAAAATCAATTTTATTCAATTTCTTCTGGTACTTTATAGGAAATATATATGGTTCAAAGATTTTTTTCTCTCTCAAAAACTCAATTTTTCCCTGTATTATCTACTGTCTTACAATATTATTATGCTAAATGACAATGGCATTTCTTGAAAACAAATAGATGTACATTTATTTATACGACTTCCCACTATTAATTATAATCATTAAAGCTATGTAATACATTTTGTTGATTCTTGACTTTTACGTCAACACAGGAATATTTAATTGCCGTAGAGGCACGAGCACACAATACTATAAATAATACACTTACCCATCTCCGAACAACAATGTCCACCTCATAATATTTACCGTATTTTGTGTATATTGGGTGAACCAATGACGTAAAACTGTTATTTATTTGAGCATTTGTGTAAGTTCTTACTACCTTTAAGACAGTGATACAAACGAAAGAAGTGATTGATTGATGAAGTTAGAGGAGGTACATGTAAATCATTGGGTCCTTGCATAGCTCTTATTCTGTCCATTCCTTTCCCATATCTATATGTGTTTTTATCAGAAGAAAAATCCATTACCATGCAATTTTACTTAGAAAATTGAATAAATATGTTTAATTACACTAACTGAACATTTTTATCAGATTGTTTCCATCAAATCATTTTAACAAATGAACTCGAAATATGTTACTCTGACAAATAAAATGATAGAAAAAAAGGTAAACAAACATATATTGTGATTCTGAATTAGATTAATTTGATCAACTGTTTACAAAAAAGTATTATGACTGTACATTATTCTGCCATGTGCGAGACTAGCTTCGTGGAATTCACTTTTGACATGTATATTTTACTTGTATTGCTTGATGTTGAGGACATCGGTAACGTAAAGTTGAGTGATGAAATAGTGCATGGAACATAGGTTAGGTTATTATGTCATCATGAGTTAACACTACATAACCAAAGTGCCCTCAACAGAGAGAAATACTAGTTTTAATACATCATATGATCTTGACATGAAAACAAAAAATAATATTGACTGTCGCTGCTGATGGCATTTTATGATGGCGTAAATACCTGAGTAATCGTCACGTCACAATACTGAATAGGATGGTGGTCAAACAGAGACCAGATACATTAATAATGGTCGTAGGAATTGTAGTGTAATACACCAATATTGTATAGATATTGTAGTGTAATACACCAATATTGTATAGATATTGTAGTGTAATACGCCTATATCGTATAGGTATTGTAGTGTAATACACCAATATTGTATAGATATTGTAGTGTAATACACCTATATCATATAGGTATTGTAGTGTAATACACCAATATTGTATAGGTATTGTAGTGTAATACACCAATATTGTATAGGTATTGTAGTGTAATACACCAATATTGTATAGATATTGTAGTGTAATACACCTATATCGTATAGGTATTGTAGTGTAATACACCAATATTGTATAGATATTGTAGTGTAATACACCTATATCATATAGGTATTGTAGCATAATACACCTACATGTTATAGGTATTGTAACACTTACATCCTATAGTTGGTGTAGTGTAATATACCTATATATGGTATAGATATTTTAGCATATTACATCTACTGTAGCATGATACACCTACATGGTATAGGTATTGTAGCATAATACACCTACATGGTATAGGTATTGTAGCGTAATACACCTACATGTACCATACATGTAGCGTAATACACCTACATGTACCATATATAGGTATATTACACTACACCTACTGTAGCACGATACACCTACTTTAGCATGATACACCTACATGGTATAGGTATTGAAGCATGATACACCTACATGGTATAGGTATTGTAGCATGATACACCTACATGGTATAGGTATTGTAACACTTACATCCTATAGCTGGTGTAGTGAAATATACCTATATATGGTATAGATATTTTAGCATATTAAATCTACTGTAGCATGATACACCTACATGGTATAGGTATTGTAGCATAATACACCTACATGGTATAGGTATTGTAGCATGATACACCTACATGGTATAGGTATTGTAGCATAATACACCTACATGGTATAGGTATTGTAGCATAATACACCTACATGGTATAGGTATTGTAGCATAATACACCTACATGGTATAGGTATTGTAGCATAATACACCTACATGGTATAGGTATTGTAGCATAATACACCTACATGGTATAGGTATTGTAGCATAATACACCTACATGGTATAGGTATTGTAGCATAATACACCTACATGGTATAGGTATTGTAGCATAATACACCTACATGGTATAGGTATTGTAGCATAATACACCTACATGGTATAGGTATTGTAGCATAATACACCTACATGGTATAGGTATTGTAGCATAATACACCTACATGGTATAGGTATTGTAGCATAATACACCTACATGGTATAGGTATTGTAGCATAATACACCTACATGGTATAGGTATTGTAGCATAATACACCTACATGGTATAGGTATTGTAGCGTAATACACCTACATGGTATAGGTATTGTAGCGTAATACACCTACATGGTATAGGTATTGTAGCATGATACACCTACATGGTATAGGTATTGTAGCTCAATACACCTACTGTAGCATGATTCACCTACTGTAGCATGATACACCTACATGATATAGGTATTGTAGCATGATACACCTACTGTAGCATGATACACCTACATGGTATAGGTATTGTAGCGTAATACACCTACATGGTATAGGTATTGTAGTGTAATACATCTTATCATATAAGTATTGTAGTGTAATACATCTTTATCATATAGGTATTGTAGTGTAATACATCTTTATCATATAAGTATTGTAGTGTAATACACCTATATCGTATAGGTATTGTAGTGTTATACACTTATAACGCTCACCATGACTTTTAAGCAATTATGGCAAAATGTTCTCATTCACTGAAATTGCAAGCATTGCCTGATTTTGGGTCTCACCTTTCAACACTTTAAGGGGTAAAACACCCTTCCTTTATATGGTATCTGATTCCCTGGGACAAAGGATGATACATAGGAAATGTTCTTGAAATATTGTCAATTGTTCAGAAGGAGTAGGCTGAAAATGCTCAATTACCAACATTTGAACTAAGTCTACACTTTTCTTTTACACAAAACTTGAATACCAGGACCAATGATGTTTTGTTGAGATCTGTGTAAATGTAGAAATGAAATCCCAGTTGTTTCACAAACATGAAACTAAGTTCTGATGGGAGGGCCAAATCACTGAGCCAATCTTTGTAGCATGATGGTGTGGTAAAGTGCGAGGATCTCAACAATATTCAAGTTATTACTCCATTTTGGCCCCACAACCAAGCCCCCAGGAGGTCTAATCCTTCATTTGTACAATAAAGGATGCTTCCAGTCTGGTTTTGAAGAAGTCATTTGAAGAAACTGTTGATGGACGACAGATGCCTTTCTATAAAAAGGTTGAGCTCAAACTTATTTCACCAGTAACACTGACAGAACTATATTTAACGTATCAGTACCCTGGAAATGAAGGAGGTCATTAATGATAATAATGATCAGTATAATCATGCTATCTTACAGGTCACACCATCATGCATGCTTTGTTGTGTAGCTTTCAAAGGGATATATCAATTCTGTAGTCCATATCATATACTCATCAAAGATATTGCACAAGTTGTTGTAATTATGACCACTTCCGGTAAGGAGATCACTTTCACAGTGACTATAAGTAAGTATATTTGTATCTAAAAAAAAAAGCGAAACATTGAGTTTTCAATAACGAATGTACTGGTACTGATAAATTGCTGTTTCACATTTTTATCAGTTTATATCAGTAGATTTATACAGAAATGCAGTATACTTTCAATATGTCAGAAAAATCTTTGTCAGGCTATTCCGTCTTTGCGTATTGCAGAGTTATCTGCTCTTGTGAGCAGGTATTGATTGTTACGTCATTTGTTTGAGATTTACGTCATTATTTTTTGAGAAAACGACATAATTTTCATACACGAACCAATGTCATAACAATCAATACCTGCTCACAAGAGAAGATAACTCTGCAATACGCAAAGACGGAATACTACAGCATCCCGACTCCGAGTTAATGAAATGCTGGGAATATCTCCATCTTATATAACAAACAGACAGTAGATTGTTATCTGCCTTAGTGTCAAACAAAGAGGGTACTTATTGTAGCATGGAAGCACTAAGTAGATTTAAAATGGTACTTTTGTGTAATTATCTTGAGGTAAATTACAGATAACATCAATGGTAAAGAAACAGCTAAATCTGTTGGATGTTTACGGATGATCAGACCATGCCAGTCACTGGCTACAACAGATTCATACAGCTGCCTCTACTAAAGATATTACATTAAGTTACTTTTCTCAAAAACCTCAGATCCATCAGGATATTATGCATTCTGGAAAGTTTTGATATATAACACATTTCCAATTAAAATGCCAGCATTCACACAATGACCTCATCAACATAAAAAGCAAATTTGGCCTCCCCACTATGGATCTCCATATATTCCTGTAGTGAGTCGGTAATACAACAAATTTAAAAAGAAGTAATTTAGAAGTTCAATTCCATTTTGATAGTGACCTTCCATGAAATTCATATTGACTCTCTTGATTTATGGGGTTCATCATGTTATGCCATTGACCGGTGAGTTAACGAAATTCTATGTATCACAAACTGCACCCATATGTGGGTCAAATTAAGGTATGAACCTAGTATTGTTTTATCTCATAATAACATAATAAAGGGCAGGCCATTGAGCACATCACAGGTAACATAAAGGGTATCTATTGGAAAAGAAAATAGCTCCAACAACATTTGTTACTTAATAAATAAAAAGAGAAAAATATTTACCACCTAGTTTCATAACCTATTTGAACATGTGATTTAAGATCAACTCCGGAAGTTTTCTAACTTCACAACATGATATTTAACACTTTAAATCTTGAACTCTATCCGTTCAACAGAACTAGATTCAAAGTTATGGTACTCATCAGTTACCATACTCACAATAGTCCTGATAATTTACCATATTCTCACCAGAATGATATGACCATTCTTAATTGCCTATTCATTCATTAGCTGAAAAGCCGTCTCCTCAGTTCCATCCAGATATGAAGTCCATGCCATATGTTGCACTTTTTCCAGAAAGCAGTAATAAACTTCATATTATCGTCAGCTTAAATCTGGAAATGTCCAAGTTTTCAGCGTCACTCGTAACTAAAAGCTGCCATATTTTCCTTGTCTCTAGTCAAACTGCCTCCTTATAATGGGGAAATGGATCTTTTCAGATACACCTTCTCTCATAAATGGTAAGATGGTTTCCTTATTCTGAAATAAATAAAGACATATAGCAGACATATAAAATAGTTATGAATGTAAAGAAAACCTAAAACTATCATAGTTTGTTGTTTTGATTTGGTTTTGATTACTGTACTGGGGTTAAACATCCCTGTAACAGCCAAGGTCAGATTTTCTTGGAAATCCTCATAAATATGAAGTCAGCTAATGAAATGACCAACAGAGATAGCCACTTAACCAATGACCGTTGATAGAGAAATCTTCACATATTCATTGTATATCTTAAGCTTTCAACCAACCAAAGAAAATATCATTAGTAAAATAAATGGTTACATTCTTTCATACCAATAGTCAAGAGGGTTTACAACTTTTTTCAAAATCCATTGTAGAATATTCATCTGACAGGATAAAAATCACAATAAATTATTTTTGGTAAAACAAATGTAGCAGTACATTTTTTCTCTGTTATAGGAAACCTATAACAGAGAAAAAATGTCATATCATGAAAAGGTCATAAGTAGAATGGTTTCTCCCATTCTTATCTGTGTATGATAAAACTGTCCTGGGCAAGAAAGGGGTGTAGGATGTTTTTTTCTTTCATATTCGGTCATGTAAGATAACGCTGGCCATGTAAGATAACCATGCTTGCTGAGTCTATCTTACATGGGCTAATCACATCACGTAGTAATACAAAAACTAAGGGGAGCAACTCTGGTGGACATGTTATATTCGCCCGGCTCTGTATTTATTAATTGTACCTATATATTTCTTTTACCAGTAAATTGATTAATTACATGATCAGTCATGAATTAAAAATTTGACAACAAAAACATAATTTGTTTTCTATTTTCAACTAGGAATTATATTTTTCTCTGTGCATTAAGTGAGATGTACAGTAAGTATTGATGAGATTCAAAGATGGCGCTTAGAAAATGCCGTATGGAAAACAGAAAGTTGAATAACAACTAAACCATAGAGTTATCATGAAAATGTGTTGTTTTGTGGGTACAAAAATGTTGCGGTTTGAAGGTATGGTGAATTCATTTCTACTGCTATTTTTGTTTTTAAACCACGGAGAAAGTATTTCAAAACTGTAAGATGGCGACCGCCTGTGTGCAATAATGCATTGAGAGGTGAAGTATTTGTTTTTTAATGGTAGATATGAGAGAAAAATACTCTCTCATATGTAACAGTAGGTGGATAGAGAAATCCTCCCTTGGGGATCATAATTGGGATAAAAGCCTCGGGTTTTACCCCAATTTTTGATCTCCTCGGGAGGAATTCTCTATCCACTTCCGGTACACATGAAAGAGTCTCATAATCTTATATCTAATATCACAACCGGACAACGATAGTATTAAAATCAGGAAAACTCTGATGTGGCAATGTGGAAACTGCCAATAGAAGGGAATCAAAAATCGAAATTAACTTGTAAACACTCTAACTCAGAGAGGCAAGATTTATTATTTTTTATTTACATGTAGACAAGTAAAGATTACAAACTGCCCTGGTAGTTTTTCATTATGTTTTATAAGTAAGGAGCTGTAGGGAATCCACTCACAGATCCACCAAAGAATGCTATCAAATTGTCTCTCATAAGAAGTGTTGGATCACCAGACTAGTTAAAAATTGTACCAGTAGCAGTGCCTTTAGGGAGACATGCAAAATAGAAAGAGTATGTAAATGAGACAAGAAACCTATATGTCCTAAGCGCCAAAACATTTCGGCACTCGCAGCTATCATTCTACAATTCTAACACTGCCCAACCATGTATTAATTTACAGCTGAGTAGACTGGAACAAGTGGAGTAAAGTATCTTGCTCAAAAATATAACACAGTGCTGTGCTGCGACTCGAACCTGCAACCTTCGGTCACGAGCCTGGCGTCCTACCACTAGACTATCATGCCTCCTTAAAACACTAAATGCCTCTAAATGGATTATATACATACCCTTCTTGTCATATTTTCTCTTGATAATCTATCTCTCTTTTCATTTCTTGAATCCTTTAAAAAAGAAAAGTGTCACATCATTACTTCATGGTTATATGTTTCTATCTATCAAACTTAATTTAAGTTTAAACTTACCTTGTAGGAAGCACATGTAAGATTATGCAACAGTGCAGTGCCCATCATTTATCTAGAATATAATCTTTGCATTTGCCTAGTGCATTCATACAATATTTTTCCTATTTTTTCAACATCTACTCAATAACCATCAATCCAAGAGTCCTGTAAACTTCTGAGTTGAAAGGTACCAATTATATTCAAATAAATGAGCTATGACCTACATTGAAGGTCAAAGCTAGAATCCTATGTGTTAAAATCTTCAAACTGTTATTTTTGGATTTTACAAAATAAAGGATTCCCCTGTCAAGTAGACAAGAGTTATCTCCCCTAGTATAAATGTTCAGCAATAGCTGTGTTGAAATTAGAAAATCACTAATATTAGTCTAGCCGTCCATTTTTCTGTAGTTTTACAATTAAATCACTACATTTGATCCTAGGTCTAACGGGATTAGCCCGACAACATTTATCATGTCCTATTGGGTTTCCACTAGTTTTCACACTGATTAAGGGACTCAAACTTACCACACATTCAAATATGACGATGAATATTAACCACAGCAAAGAGGACAGGAGCAGAATCACCCACACAACATTGTCCTTCATCACCACCTCTGAAACATAACCACATTAACATTAGACTTCAGAGTCAAATTCCAACTTTCCACAAAGGACAAACACAGTAGCATAAGTGTATTCATCTTTTCACACTCCGTAACTGTATGAAGTGAAGATCTAAACCACTGATATGTTATGACCTAAGGGCAAAGTCCACAGGGGCAGGGAGTGACCCCATGGCCAATCATTGTAGCATGATTGTTATCATCTATTCATGTGCACGTTTTTAATATGTGGACCATTCAGATTTGAATCATCAAAATCATTCTCGTTAAGTCGGGAACACATTAAAGAATTGTAAATCTTGAAGAAACATACAGAAATATTGCTTTAAATTATGTTATTATTTTTATAGTGTATATGATGTTATCAATTAATACAAATGAGAAATATGCTGTGATACAAACCTAATCGATTGATGCTGAAATACTGGAGGACCCTGTACAACCTTTTGACAATGGTACCAGATCTTGCACAAGTTCCCTACAATATAATCCACAACAATTCTTCATAATTAACCATCTCATACAGGTGTAGTAACCATCATTTATTACCTACACATAGACTTGTCACCATTCATAATTTACCTACTCATACAGGTATAGTTAAAGGGGCTGGTCGGGGAAAAAATGTCATATTTGCTAAAATGGTATACACATGTTTAAATACTTTCTTATGAAATATACCGATTTAAATTTTGCTGAAATTCACTCCCTAAGAGTAAAAATTATAANAGTCATGACAGGCACGAGGTATCAATACCGTTATATATAACAACAACATATAGGTAGGAATACTACACTTGCATCATACATGACCTTTGAAAACAATTATTTACGTATAGTATTGCTGTCTTGTCCGCTAGTTGAGTCCGACATGGCACATGACGGCGTGCTATTGTTGTTATCTTCACTGCCTCACTTTCGAAACAACCATGTGACATATATAAATAGATCTGCGCTAAATTTACGCGGGGCTTCCCCAAGATTTCAGTGGTCAAAACTGGACATTGCAAGCAGAACTCCACCATCATATTGCCGTGGTATAACTTCTGGAAGGCCAGAGAACGCATTTAGACCCATTTATTTTGTATTTTTTTCCCGACCAGCCCCTTTAACCATCATTTATTACCTACTCATACAGGTATAGTAACCATCATTTATTACCTACACATAGACTTGTCGCCATTCATAATTTACCTACTCATACAGGTATAGTTAACCATCATTTATTACCTACTCAGACTTTTCTCCATTTATAATTTACCTGCTCATACAGGTATTACAGGTATAGTAACCATCATTTATTACCTACTCATAGACTTGTCACCATTTATAATTTACCTGCTCATACAGGTATTACAGGTATAGTAACCATCATTTATTACCTACTCATATACCTTTCTCCATTTATAATTTACCTGCTCATACAGGTGTATTGCTATTCATTTATTTACCTGCTCACAGAAACCATAGCTACATGGACTGCCATTTGGTAGAGATCCTGTATTTTTCAATGGTGTACAAGCTCCGGTGCTGTTGGCGTTTTGACAACAACGCTTACATAGGTTACCTTCATCTGAAGTATAAGAATGTTGTATCACAAGATGCTCTATATAGGCTTTATATGTGTGAAACGGTCATCTTCATCAAAGTACCCACTGAAACTAGACAGTCACATCAAACCAGCTTTATTCCCAGTTTGTGTATATAGGAGAAACAGAATTTCCAACTCATGATGATTAATAATGTTTGTTATTCATTCTTGTGGAAGCTAGCAGGTAATATTTGAGAATCGGCTCACTCGAATGAATTTAAACTTTAACCATAACTCATTAAATACCCTGTATAAACACAACCCATTATTGTGTGGGTTTCTCTACAAGACAACATATAAATTGACTAATATATACCAGGAAATTTTCACAGCAGCTATAACTTTCACCTTTTTCACCCTTCTGTACTAATTTAATCCACAAATATTCCAACAGCATTCCCTACAATACAATAGTAGGTGAAGTGAGAAATGATCACAGGAGGAATAGGGACACTACCTTCACAGATGCACGGGATTTTGCCAAGTTGCTGACACTGTCCAAGACATACACCTCTCCTACACACTCCGCTGGAATCATAGAAAGACAAAATATAGTTACTTTCTTTTCCTGAAATTTTATTCATTTGCTTCTTTTTTGTCCCTAGATAAAAAAGATCAGCATATGGTATTATCCTTATTGGTGATCAATAGCTCTCTCATTAGGAATTAAGAGATCTCAAAATACCTTGTTTATCTGGTCCTAAGGCAGTTTATTACAGTGAAATTTATCTCAGCTACATCTTGGTTACTCATTATGTCCTTTTTTAATTTAATTCCATGCACCAAACAATATCAGACTACTTTCAAATGTGTGCACAGATCAATGTTCAAAAGTATCAATTATATACTTTTTCTTATTAATGGTTGTACATAAAATATGGGTACTTGTAATACAGATAATATCATCCCTTACGGATATACAGATTTGGACAGGGTGGGTGGCTGATGCAGTGGAAAGCGCAATCACAAAGACAGCTGGGGTTTTATTCTCTGATCTGCCATGATAAGTATAGGGGGCACCTGCCTGGCGATGTAGGTTTTCTCCCAGGTACCCCAGTTTTTTCATGTTCAAACCCTCTATGCATTGCCATTCATGCCAACAAGAGCAATTATTAAAAGTTGATTTTCCCCCCATTATTATTGCAAAATAATAAAGTAATACAGATATAATCTAGGTCAGCTTTAAGAGAAGGATTTAGTACTTACTCGTCAGTACAGTTCCGCCCGTCTCTAGAATTATCAGCCACAGGGCAGGTTAAATCAATACCGCTGTATGTGTTAAGGAATTCAACACAGATTTTGAACAGCAGCAATCACATCCTTGTCAAGTTCATCTAGAACTTCAGTTTACATGTAATACTTTTATAATATTTAAATAGGACATTCAAAGAAGCAATCAGACCTCATTAATCTGCTACCACTGTTTTAGCAGCAATTTGGTCAAGTTAGTGTTTTTAGTAACAAAGTCTTTTTGTTCTAACTGATTTTGTCTCATTAATTAAGGTTTTACACAATTCAGCTATGCTATCTTGGAACTAAAGATGAGGCTTGATAGCATAGTGTGATTTATATTTTTTATTTATTATTTTATTTAAGATGAAGAAAAAATGTAGGTTCTCAACCTTGTATGGGAGCTAAGGTGCAAGAACCATAATCTACTGTCTGTATGTGATAACTCCAATATTTTATTTATTTTCATTATTATTCAGGAACATTTTATAAATATTTCTATATTTTATACCTTAATTGATGCATCTACAAAGATTATTTTATTTTGGAAATCATAACCTCAAAAATTTGTTTTCAACAAGCAAATTCGTGGAATTTATATCCTCCGCTTTCAGTACATATTGTAGGTAAACATTATTGAGGTTAGGTTTAAACATGTGAGTATTGTGCTGTTGAGACATAATGTATAACTTGAAACTCAAAGAAAAAAAAGCCTTATCTAATATTTGCTAGAGGTATTAAGCGGAAACTGCAGATAATGACTCTGCCAAATGGAGTCTGATTAAAGTGGTTGTCAAACTTGGCCCAGCCCTTAATGCGTTGAAGCCTGTTACTAAGTTTGAATACAATCGATACTATTTGCGAGAGCAAGGAACAGAAAGGGAAGATAATGACGTTTTTTCGTTATTCAAGGGGCCATAACTCCGTCATCAAACTTGGCCGAGCCCTTAATGCATTTAACCCTGGTACAAAGTTTGAAGAAAATCGGTTAAAATTTGTTGTAGTTATTGCACGTAATGAAGCGTGCCAGATAATGATGTTTTTCATTATTCAAGGGGCCATAACTCCATCCAATGGGGTCCGCTGAAAGTGGTCATCGACCTTAAGGTATCTAACCCTGTGACCAATTTTGAAGAAAATCGGTTAACATTTGTTGTAGTTATTGCACGGAAAAGAAGCGTGACAGACAGATAGATAGACAGAGAGATAATAAGGAGTTCATGCAGTTAAGGTTTGAATTTCACTGGTAAATATTTTATGAACTTTACACTTAGAATTTCAAATATTCAACTGAAATATTCAGCTTATATATTTATTTTTATTTTTTCAAAGATGTCCCTCTCCCTTGCATTGTTAAATCGGATGGATATAATTGATTCACTTTTTAAAAAAAATGTGTCTTTCCATGCATTTTTTTCTCTTAAGGTTTAAATAAATTTTGTAAAAACGTACTTGAACCTGAAAAAAGACAGAGTTTGGACAAGTCTTATGCTACCTATACAAATTTCCACATACATGTATTTACATTCAGACAATCAGTTCAAGGATACTTGCAGTTTGCCGATTCCTTGCAGCCAGATGATGCTCTGCACCTCTGGAAGCCTGAAGCCACTTGACAGGTCAATCTGTCACAGCATGGGTAATTCATGTAGCTGTAGAGGAAAACACGGCACTGTGAATTATACCAAAACATGGCCATGTGTGTCTGTACAGTGTATAATAATAGAACTACTTTGCATTTCAAATACTGTAAAAGCAGAAATTTTCATAATGTGGAAATGTTTGGCTTAATTTTGGCGTTGCTTAAATTATTTCGAAAATATCCACATGAATATTTATTTATTTCCAGATTTTTTAGACTATATGTATGAATAAATAAAGTATAGATTAAGATTCAAAACTATTTCCAATGCAAAAATGTACACACTGTGGTCAGTTTAAAGAGTCACAGGGCAAATATTTCCACACATGAACATTTCCACTTTTACAGGTGCTGTATCTACATTAACTTTTGTGTCAGTTGAAATCTTCATTTGATAACTACTATAAACTATATCGGTCTGGGCTCTCACCAGCTGCTCAAGTTTTTGTTAATAATGATTTGCTATAGTTAATTGTGAAGACATATATACTGTTATCTACATTGTGAGGACGAGTCTGAGCCGAGGCAGTCATTGGTTACCTACCTGCAAGTAGCCTGACCAATCAGCTTGCAGTCTTTGTCACAACAGATGTCACCCATCTTCCCGGAGTCACATTCCTCATCCTTATCTACCCTCCCATTTCCACACAAACCGATTCCACCTGTGGACTCTGTAAAACAAGTTACTTGGATATCATTTTACATTTCTGATCAACTTTCTGGGGAAAAACGATTTAGTCAATAAATAAACAAAATTTACAGGAATTATTTTACCTCAACTTTCTGACTTTAGTAAAACAATTATACTGTCTTAAATAATGAAAAAATAGTGACTAGAAAAGAAGTCCAGTTGAAATACTGGATCCATTTTATGTGAAATTGTGTCAAACTGTTCCTTTTATTTCAAATACCTCTGAATCAATCTTTTGAAAATCATCAAATAACGGCTTCTACAAAATCCATCTGTATAATGGATTCCACTATTGTGAATATCTTGTCAGCTGATTAGATTACCATTACAGTATTCATACGGATTCTGTATTTGGTTTTATTTCTTTAAGTTTGGCAATAATCTCCCCTGACACTGCTTCCAAAATTCTATTCTATTCTATTACAGAACTCTTTTATTGATACCAGCATATTGTATCATACTCACAACTGATTAAAAAGTGATATTGAAAATAGAAAAGTTTGTTTGAGGTTGATAAGGGGATGATCCAGGTACAGGAAAACCTGTTCAAACCAAACAATAAACACCTTTGTTAATCTATGCTAGTACCTGTCTTTTCCCAACGAAAAACTGTCCCAATACTAGTGTTTCGTGTAAACCGATTGTATCATTGTGAGATAATAGATGAATCACTCCAGTATATATACAGTTAAGCATCATTCATCCAGCCACCTTCTAGTTCATTTTCCCCACTTTATATCCAGAAATCAGAAAACTGGTTATCCAGAGTATCTATAGAGAGTAAAACCTTTTTAGAGAACAGATTGTCCTATTATTATGTTCAAAAGTGTTCTTGGAATACAGACATGTAATTATCCAGCTTCTGACTGGGAACAACACTGAAGGGAGCTGGATCGCAGAGACTTCACTGTAAAATACAGGATCTTAACAACACTGAAGGGAGCTGTAAATAAATACAGGATCTTTTAAAACAACACTGAAGGGAGCTGGATCACTGAGACTTCACTAAGTAAATACAGGATCTTAACAAAGCCTCCATTTCATATTAGAATGAATAAACAAGGCTTAAAGATTTCATTTTAGTAAGATAACTACTATGTATATGGGGCAAAGAATGTCCTTAACCCTTTCACCCCTATGTAACTTCAGTAAACTCTTCCATGTATTGATTTGGATGAGTCCATTATGGCATACAGTGGTGAAAGGGTTAAAACCACCAATGGAACCTGTTAGTCCTCAAATGTGGATTTACATGTCTTACAAATTCTACACTCAAAAGTATCCTGGACTCTGATACATTCAGTACTATAAGTGAAATTTCAGACTAACAGAGAGTGATGTTTTGGTTTTCACTTAAAATATTTTTTTTATAAATATGAACGACTTGTATATATTTAGATATACATATGTATCTACAGAAGATTGGTTATACATACTGTCTATGTGTTCAAATAAAACAGGATAAATTACTCATCACAACATACTGATAGCATGGCTGTTTAAGATGACATGTGACCTAATGTCTTTGTGATATCACAACTTAATATGTCTTCTATGTCACATCAATTCTGAGATCTGGTCAATTTTGTCAAAATGCTTCAAAATTTATATATAACAAGCACAGATTTACAGACATATAGGTAACATTTCAGCTAATACTAATGAGTTTCATATGTTTCTGTACAAATAGGATGTTAGATTTCTGTCATGCTTCACATTCTGATCATTTCTGATACACCAGCTATCAACTCATACCCTCACGTAGGTTCACAAACATAAATTCTACAAATGTTTATTTGAAATATGCTGAAAAGTTATCAGAGTTACTTAACATAAAATACGTATTACTGGATGCTTACTTCAATTATCACATAAATGAACAATTAAGAGCACTACAGGGGTGGAACAATATACGTCCATTACATGCCAATATGTACTGGTAGGGCTGTCACAAAATATCGGAAAACTGGTATATTGCAATATACAGGTATATTGTATCATATTTACAGAAACGAAATATTCCTGTATCGCAAGATTTTCAAAACATTATTTTTATGTATTTGCTAGGTGTTTTGACTTTGCAAATTACTACACATTCTAACAGGTATGTCAATAAACACACAGGCTATTTAAACTAATCTTGGGAATTAGTTGAATAATATATCAATGAATGATTGGTATAACAAAATTTTGAAATCTATATCGAGATAATTGTATACACTCCTTCTGTATTGCAATATATTGTGATACACTCCAGGCATACTGTTACACCCCTAATAGGCACATTTAGAACCTTCCTGGTGCATTCTTAAATTATTTAAACAAACAAATATTAGCACATATTATTACAAAGGTATAATCTTATAACCAATATGGCAGCCATATAAATACATTTTCATTCTGTGAAGACACTTTCTTCCCATGATGCTTTGGGATAATTTAAAATCATCCAATGAGGTAAATCACCTTACTTAAGGCCACAGTAATAGTAGTTAAGTACTGTCCTGTGAATCACTGGAGCAAAAAGAAACTTTTTGCTGTCAAACCCTTCAGGAAAACAAATTCCTAGATATTCTATGTAAAACCCTGCACATTCAAGGATATTCAAGACTTTATTTAACTTTAAAAGCTGGGATAAAGCAAATCCTGTTTTATTTGGCTAGAAAAACTAGGAGTGTACGAGGAGAGGAGGCCTGGTTATAAGCTGTGGCTGCTTGATGGAACAAGTGTATCAAAATGCAAGCTTCTGTCAAAAGCTAGGAAAAGCTTGGATGCTCAGGTGAAAATTTTACGTTTTACAGCCCTAAACCTTGTATAAGGGAATACTTATGGTTATGACAACTGAAAAACCTGGGATAAGCCAGGACCAAGTTGTGTATGTTGATTGGACAACATTTAAAAGTTGACTACTTAACAGCTGAAGGTCATTTTTTAACTGTCCATGATTGTGGCATCTTAATAAAACAATTTGTTATTTTGATTAATTACGAAGAGGAAGCTTAGAATGTGGGCTATTAACCAAATGGGATATCATTAGAAACCTATCAGGGTGTTTAAAGTATTTAATTGTTTTCTGGATATTATGAGGAACTGACACATATATGCTTCCTTTTAATATAAATTATGATGCACATCACTGTGTGTTTAATTCATTTTTTAATAATATGGAATGTTTAATACTTAGAAAACACAGGCCAGATAAATAATGGGTAACAATGGAGAATGAAGGTAGTGTGAAGGATTTCTCTACTTTGAGTGTAAATGTTAGTATTGTAATACATATATATTAACGTACATCCTAACATCAATATTCCTAAATCACAATGCACATCTATATCTTAGTAAGATGATGCTAACTCTAAAGTTTCAAAAAACAAAATACACAATAAGGGACTTGTTGACCAGAGAAGATTCCGATTCCAATTCCAAGGGGGATAACTCCATCACATTTTTAAACATGAATATTCTTGACATACATGTGCATGAACAATTACATATGCTTTTATTGAATTTCAAGAAAATCTGATAAAACTCTAGTCCTATTGTTATCTGGATGAGCTTAATGTATTATATCTTAGGTGAAACAGGAACTATACCCCATCCCCACCCTTAAAAAGGATAACAAAATATCCCCTGCAAACTTTGCTTCCATGAAAAAATATGGCTACTAAATCTGTTTGAGTATGGAGCCAACGAGATTGAGGAGGGAAGCGCTGTTATAACTCAATGCAAGTTTACATATTTACCTGGAAAGGACGGAAGTGCTGTTATTACACATTTATTGTCTAACTCAATGCAAGTTTACAATTGTTTACCTGGAAAGGACGGAAGTGCTGTTATTACACATTTATTGTCTAACTCAATGCAAGTTTACATATTTACCTGGAAAAGAGTTTTCCTCTGGAACACAAAAAAATATATAATGCTACCGTCAAAGTTTCAACAAAATCAAATTACTTCCAAATTCAACTCCAATAAAATTTACAACATGAATATTGTTGATATGCATGCTACATGCACAATTACATCTGATGCTAATGCTGCTTTTACTCAAGAAAATCTTTTGAAAACTTCAGTACTATGGTTATCTGGACTAGATACGTAAGTATACAAACGAGATGAGAAATACTGACACTAAAATTCCCATCAAGTTTGCCTTAATATGTGAAGCTACCTAAAAGTCAGCCACTGCAATCTTACTATATATATATCTATCACCATAGATTCAACAGGACTCACGTTTGATGTCGGTGATTTGGCCTTAAGGTAGTTTACTTCAACTTGTTCTTTATACAGACATCTCAGTTACTGTAAACACATTTTATGTGTGTTTTGTGCAGACCAAAACATACTTAATTCACATAATGGGAATCTTCGTTCACAAAAGCAAAACCCTATCCTCCCTAGCACACATACCGTAAATCAGAATATCCAGATTTCAATCTCATTAATCAGGTCACAATCAGGGTTAATTGGGTCAAGGTCAACGTTGATTTTATGGAGATGAATTCTTTTCCCTTACTTGTGCAGTCTGAAATATTTCCTAGAAGTCCAAACATTAAGGTGAAGTATTTCAGACTTTTGCCAGCACAAGCACGAAAAAGAGGTTTAAATACCAACTGACTTTTGATAATTTAACATAACCATCATAAGCAAACAGGGAGTCCTGGAAAATAAACAGTAACACACTAATGAAATACAAATCAGACCATAATTTACACACTGCTTTTCACGGTATTCTCATTCCCCTCTCACACCTCCAGTTCTACAATATACTGTATTCTCATTCCCCTCTCACACCTCCAGTACTACAGTTACTGTATTTCTCATTCCCCTCTCACACCTCCAGTACTACAATATACTGTCCGTAAATCCTTATATATCTTTATATATAATGACCTTTGTAATATTTGTGAATAGAATGCATCCTTATTAGGACTGAATATTGATACAGATATTGTTAAAATCAATTCGAGATCTAATTCATTAAATTAATATCATAATTTTCTCAATATCAATACTTTCAGTAGTATTCATATATATTTGTATATGAACAGGACACCAACGAAAAAGCCCTTCTGACAGCAATTTCACATAAGACCATTGAGTATTAATGATGTTACTTTAATAGAAGTTTCAGCAAGCAACAGCAGGTCCAGAAAAAAAAACCACATACAACTATATGTTTTCACATGATCTGAATAATAGTTTGAAATCTTTGTTAATCTTTGTGACTTCTAGCTAATGGTCTTAATGATTATTATAATTAAAACCTTTGTAATCTACACAACAAAAACTAAACCTTTGTCAATTTCAATCAATTGATCTTATTGATTTGACATATTTCAATATCAAAAAATCTAACACCTGGTAATGTATAAATGTATGATATGTTACAAAGAATAACTGTTTCTGAGATAATTAAATGGCTATAAGAGATATTGTGATAAATATAATAAATATCTGATAAATAGTATAGATGTCTTGTTAAATATGATGTTTATTTCAATATCTACACTTCTGTTGTAGAGACACTTGTCACCAGACAGAAATGGAAAAGATCATTGAAAACCCAATACCGTACTACTTAAGTATGTTGGCTGGTTGTACAGGGTTTAATGCCCTATCAACAGCTAAGGTCATTTAACTCATCCCCCTACATATTTTAAGTGGACTTGCCCAGACTTTAATTCAGTCGAGTTCAAATGTGACTTTAGGGTGAATGGGTCACGGACATAAAGGCTGCTGTTCCACCTTTTCAGTGAAGCAGTTTGCAACAAAATTAACATTTCACAAAAGACGACCTACTCAGAAAGACAAACCCGAATTCTCTTTCTTTTTTCCTTGTATAAGTAATGAAATACCTAATTTTAACATTTATGAGGGTATAACCATACCATGATACATGTTGAAAATATACATTTAAATCCTTATACAACGTTAAATAGCCAATAAACAGCTTCTGATATATTGGATATATATCTATATAGACTAATAAATATAACTAAATAAAAAATGTACATGCTTAAATATGCATCAAAATATATATGAATGCATTAGTAATAGATATGAATTATATCTCAGATTACAGATTTATTATCAAACATTAATAAGATATCTGAACTCTCTGAAAAATGTTGAAATTGTTTTAGGCAATGTGATCTTTTTACAGGCATTCTAGAGAATTGTACAGGTAAGTTATAACTTTAGACAAAGACCTATGGATGAGAGAAAAGTATAATATAAGTATACTGTTTGAAAAATCTAAGAATTTTTTGCTCTAAAATTTTGTCTAAAAAGATTTCTAAGAAGTTTCTAAGAAGGCAATCTCTAAACAAAACAAAGAAACATTGCAAACCTGCAATGTTAAAGAAAGTTCATCATTAATAACACAACAAGCATTTGATTAAGTAGAGGAAATCACACGCAGGATTATACGGTTCATCACACGCAGGATTATACGGTTCAGACTTTATTTCATTTTGTTTACTCTCTGTTTTCGTGCTTCAATTTTGGTTCAGTTTTTACATCACCAAGTTTTGCATTATTCCGTGGGGTGATGATCCGAGTTTTAACTTCAAATTTGTAAACATTGAAGAAAAGTCAGATGTTTTATCATAATCTAGGACAACTTGCACATATTGGTAGATTTTTTTTATTGTATCACAAGCCATCAAGTAGATAAGGTAATCCCATATCGATGACTTTGTTTTCGCTCAAAATTTTGGAATGCTTTTTGTCCAGACAATGAAACACTCACTATGATTGGATATCTAATTCTGTCTGGGTTTGGTTGTCAGTCAATCGGAATCTGTGTTTCTTAAATATAGCTCTACAACCAAACTGAATCCTAGAAATTGTTGACTACAAATAGAATGTTGAGTACTGAACCGTTGTTAATGAATAGTTCTGTTAACAGCACCGCCACTAATCACCAGGTAATGTTAATTATTCAATAGGAATATAATATATACATATAGCAATCCTTACCTGAATTTACTGTTAGACAGAATTAAAGCAAAACATTTTTTTTAAATAATCTGTTTTGAACACATGCATGAATATTTGATGAAAACCATCTGCCAAATTAATAGATGAAATTCTCCAAAGCCATGTTAAGCCACGTGTCCCATCAGTGGTTTTTCCTCATTGATTTACTAGGAAAATCTAGTGATATACAGCGAAACCAGTGAGACCTGTGTCTAAATCAGGTTTTAACAAATACATGTAGGTTATATTTGGTAGTGTTCATAAGACATGGGATTACAGTCATATATCTGATAGGACAGTATGTCAGATTATACAGGTTTTACTATTATTAGAACTTGGAATCATCAAATCAGTTAAATAAAGATTTTTTTGAAAATTATGGTGATTCATTTAATTTAATACTGCTTCAAGTGTCAACACCCGATATCTAGACTTAACTTGGAAATGTGTAATCACACGTACTTCAGAAATAAAGCTTATGATACAAAGACATTAATTAACTCACGGGAAAACACTGACATACGATCAGACGACTTCAAGAGGCGCATGGAATGCAGACTGATGTGTTTTGTTTACCGACCTCACCTGTATGTATCACATGCTAACAGTAGTTCACAAGCTCAAGGTCGCTACGACTTTTGTTGTCGAGCGAGTTACGCTCTGTTAGATAAATCGGTTCACAAATGCAATTACAATAACTCTGTGAAAATAGTGGTTTGTAAAATATCAAGATCCCTATAAAATGCAAGTGCATGTGCGTGCACGTAATAACGGCATACCATGCGATAGCCTATGGTTACATATGTACCTGACATGTGAATATACCATGCGTAAGCAGGCTATNAAAAAGTTCCGATTATTTTCAAGGTAGACAACTCTCATCAGGATCAAAATAATTGTAAAATGTAAAATAAATTAATTATAAAGACTTTGTGTGTATTTGGTTCAATTTTTCACTCTTTTTGTATGTAACTATGTGTCCTGTTTGATTTTGGCTTGCATTTAGTAACTTTTATCCATATTGTTTCAATAAAAAATGCTTTTTGTAACATGTTATAGATATTTTATGATAAATAAAATATTTGTAGGGTTGATAAGCAATGGTTTTTTTCATTATTTTATTGTTGTAATAGTTTTGAACAATGCCACACGCTCAAAAAATGTGAAAGTGTTGAATTTGACAAAAATTCAATTTTTCGGTATTTTTTACAAATAAATCCCCAGTTTATCGGAAAGCTTAGATTTTCATAAAATCATCATCTACATAGTGACATAACCATCATGTGAAACTTTCATTGAATTATGATGGCTAATTGCGAAAGGGTGGAGCCTCCTTAAATTTCTCATATTAACAAAGCTGGGGTTTCATTTCCCACAAATACACAATACCTGTACATACACAGATCAGTTTAATTTTAATATTTTAAAAAGGAGAAAAAGCTGGATGATCCATATTCAACTTTTCTCCTTTTTTTCATAAAAAAGTCCTGTATGTTTTATAAATAGAATTTTTCCTCATGTCTTCAAATTTTCACTTCCTCTCCTTTCAAGTTAAAATCCAGTTTGGAATTTAATTTTCAGGAATATTCTACTAATTAATAAACCAAATTATTTGCTTAACCTTGGCTTAACAATGGTGCTTCGCATATTTTAAGATATTAGATTCTGCCTCACCTGAGAAACAGTCGAAGCCTTTATTCTGGAGCACTTTAAACACATACTGTCGACTGCAAGATGAGAATACCTGAAAAGGAAAAATAAACAATCAGAGGCCATCTGGGATCCGCAAAATGGAAACAAACTTTTATATTAAGTACCCAACATATAACACTTTCACAAAATATCAACAACGTCTCTGACATAGAACTCAAGTTATAACTGTCATTGTCTCAGCCAAACAGAGGCCATAAGTATCCATCTTGAATCCCGAAATTTAAAGTCTACATCTTAATATAAAAGTATGTTCAATATGTATCACTTTAAAAAAGAACTAACAATGTCAAATCCATAGACCTAAGTTATAACTGATATTGCCTCAGCCAATCAGAGACTATTGCGGCCATCTCAAATCCCTTAATTTAAAAGCCCCACCCCCCCCCCCCCCCCCCCACCTTTATGATTTAGTATATCCTATATCCTCCTGTGTATCACTCCCACAAAGTATCAACATCATCATCATCCCCATGAAACTCATATCAATTATAGTCTTAGCCAATCAGAGGCCATGGCAGCCATTTTGAATCCTAAAAAATTAAAGTTGGCTATCTGATGTAAAAGCATATCTTCTATGTTTCATTGTAATTGTCACAAAATTTTGGAAAATTTATCTGGACTGGGCTTGAAATGAGAAAAAAAGTCAGCTACGTATTCTGAAGGATATAGTTTAACCTGAAATATAAATATCAGGTGCACATTAAATGATGTACCAATCATGCAAAGTTTTATTGAAATTTGTGTACTCTGTTGCAGAGGGTATAATTAAATTAAAAGAAAAAATGAGTTACAAAAGTCTCATTTTTTTTTAATGTAAGCACACTGTTCTACGTACTACATACTTGCTGCGAATAGACCTCCAATTTATTAATAATAATGTCACTCTGATGTGAAGATGTTAAATTCACTCAGCTGAGCCACTTATATTTTAACTGCACCAAGAACTTATGTCAGACTGTGTTTTTCTTGCACTTTCCTGTTATAAAACGGAAGGTAGATCTTTTTTCCAAAATACCTGATTGTTTGCCTGGTAGCCAGTTGTCGAGCTGGGATACATGATGTACTTGCCACCAGCTGAGGATCTCGGAGAACAGTTACTGGTGTCCGGGTCATGCTCACATCCCCAATTGTGGCCTAAGACAAACATAAAACAATTATATATACAGTCTGTATATCTAAATTATAGATCACATGTGTTTATCTGAGGTCACAGACAGCTCAAGTTCTTGTACAGAAAACAATTATATATACAGTCTGTATATCTAAATTATAGATCACATGTGTTTATCTGAGGTCACAGACAGCTCAAGTTCTTGTACAGAAAACAATTATATATACAGTCTGTATATCTAAATTATAGATCACATGTGTTTATCTGAGGTCACAGACAGCTCAAGTTCTTGTACAGAAAACAATTATATATACAGTCTGTATATCTAAATTATAGATCACATGTGTTTATCTGAGGTCACAGACAGCTCAAGTTCTTGTACAGAAAACAATTATATATACAGTCTGTATATCTAAATTATAGATCACATGTGTTTATCTGAGGTCACAGACAGCTCAAGTTCTTGTACAGAAAACAATTATATATACAGTCTGTATATCTAAATTATAGATCACATGTGTTTATCTGAGGTCACAGACAGCTCAAGTTCTTGTACAGAAAACAATTATATATACAGTCTGTATATCTAAATTATAGATCACATGTGTTTATCTGAGGTCACAGACAGCTCAAGTTCTTGTACAGAAAACAATTATATATACAGTCTGTATATCTAAATTATAGATCACATGTGTTTATCTGAGGTCACAGACAGCTCAAGTTCTTGTACAGAAAACAATTATATATACAGTCTGTATATCTAAATTATAGATCACATGTGTTTATCTGAGGTCACAGACAGCTCAAGTTCTTGTACAGAAAACAATTATATATACAGTCTGTATATCTAAATTATAGATCACATGTGTTTATCTGAGGTCACAGACAGCTCAAGTTCTTGTACAGAAAACAATTATATATACAGTCTGTATATCTAAGTTATAGATCACATGTGTTTATCTGAGGTCACAGACAGCTCAAGTTCTTGTACAGATGAATGTGTTCATATATGTCTTTGAGTAGGTATGTAAGTCAGCTGAATAACTACCGGTATTTCTGTGTAGTCAGATAAACACATTATGTGGGGTATTACATATATAAAACAACTGTTTTCTATAGGCCTACAAAGCATCATTCACTTCAATTCCGTGTTTTCAGTAAAAGCCGGTTGATGACAAAAGTAGCCTGGCTATTCTCAACTTTGAACCAGCAATTTTTTTTAATGCATATACATTGTATACATGTATCAACATTATAGCATATCATTTGAACATTCAACTGACTCTTATTTTCAAGACAACGACCTGTTTCAAAACTTAGTAAGAACACATGTTCTCACTACTGACTGTGTTATCCCAAATGAATGTTAAATTTGCTGATGTAAATCCTGAAAAAAAAACAAGGACAAAATATATCAATGACAAAGCAACGACTACCACTGGAGCATCAGGTGGTAAAATGTTTGTCCTTAAGCAACATTAATGCCCCAGGACAAAAGTTGTATGTACCAGTAAAAGGCACCAGAACTTTAAATAGTACAGTTGGACAACTTACCTATTTCTGTTTTAAGGAATGTTCCAGCATCATATGAAAGAAAAAACATCTGTAAACTTTATTACAAGTACAGAGTGTTCATTTCATGAAGGACACATGCGTATATGGTTCCTTACTTTTGATCTACACACTAAGAACCCTGTGAAATTTCAGTACACTATTCAAGAAAACACTGATAGTGCTGAAGTAATCCAAATGATAAGATAATGGTAATCATGCAATGTTGTAAACCCAGAAAAGTCTTACAGAAATGAGTTTGCTATCAGCAATGACTTAAATATCCATGTTACTTATAGATGGTAGGCAAATTAGTTTTAGTATGTAACATGTCAGGACAAGGAATGTGCCTATTTGCGGATTACCCTACAAACTACAATATTTACTGTGAACACTGGAGACTTTGTGCCTGTTTTTAAAGCGAACACAATTTAAGTCACAATCAGTGCTCTATAGACACAATGCAAAATTTATAAAACTAGAAAATGTATGTGAATCATCCATATACCCACGCTACTGCTTTAATGGAAATAAAGGTAAATACTAAATCTAACCAAATTCAATGGAAAAAAATGCAAAGTCTTACCCAAGTCTGTGAAATAGAAAATATAATAGCGCAGCCTAGTGTTAATTTCCTTGGTTCACAGTTACTATGAACAATTTTTCAGTTTGAAGCTTCAAAGATCAGCAAAACTTATAATTATACAGTAACTGATAATAAGGTGTTTTGGTAGTTTCTTGTCTATGATAAAGTGATATTTAGAAGCATTCAAATAATAAATGAAAATACTTCAATGTAAATTATGCAGGTGAATTGAAAATTGAAACTGTTTAAAAAAACTTTCAAAGTTGAAGCATCATGGTACAATAAATGTATGTACATCCTCACACTACAAACAAAAATATTAAATCATGTTTTTTTTATATCCATTGTAAAGTCTGACATACCGTGTGTCACGGTGAGTGTTGATGGCAAACTCATGGCAGTGCTGCCCCCTGGTGTCTGGAACGAGCTGACACCGGTGTTGACGGCCTGCTTTTTCCCATTTACATAAGCAGCTGTGACAATCCAAGGATAATATAATTAAAATATCTGTCTCAAAGTATTCTACATGCTGAAAATTCAAGCTTATGAGAAAAAAATCTTATTTAATACATGATATTAAAGGAACGCAAACTCCATATGACTCAGATGCTATATGGCGATTATTTGATAATTACTTCAGAATTTCACAACTTTAAACACTTTTTCCTGCTGTCCTCAAGTTGTTTGAAGAAATCTCTACATAATCTTAAGCCAAAACACCAGAGAGTTCTACTGTACAGTAAGCTCCCTTTAATTTAGTCTCGGATATAACTGTAATGCAACTAGGCCAGGTAACCATACAAACTCGTACCTCAAATGATGAGGGCCACAGTAAAATGATCAGACTTTCAGAGTTCAAATCAAGGTCTGTCCTGTTATATGTATACAATCAGATCACTGATGTAGAATCTATTTCGTTCATTTCATTTTATTACTTTTCCATCAAAAATCCTTAAGGTATGGTTTTCTTTTCAGAAATGATTTATCAAAGCTACAACAATGCTGGAAAAAGGTTTAAATGGATAGTTACAGCTTTTAGCAATGGTAGGGGAATCTTTAATTTAAATTTAGTTAAAAACAAATTCTCTATGTTTACACTATTAAAGAAAACTTGTCCAAAAATCAATTTCCCTGTCTGTTATGTTTTTAAACTTAGTATGCATATTTCTCGTAAAAGTCAGAATATGGAATCATCTCAAAGGATTTGCCCATCTGAGTAAAGTCTCATGGGGATCTAACCATGTGAAAAGTTATTCTTCTTCTAATTCAGTGTACAAAGGCTCCATCAATACTAATGATTTGTGCCTTCGAGAACCTGTGCAGAGGCGTAAAAAAGGGATTGTTGTCAGTGATTAGATTAGGTTTTTGTGCAGGGTATAAGATAATAGGTAAGAGGTTGCGTATGTACTAGCGTGTGATGAGGGCTTCAAGGGCTGCATAGGGTATGTGTGCCTTGAAGTCCTCGAGTGGGAGTGATGTACATTGTACGCCTGCTAAGGGAAGGAGATTCCATAGTGTTATTGTGTGTGGTAAGAATACATTTGTGACATTTATCACTTGCAGTTTATTACAAATGTTCCTACTTTTAGCTGATACCAATAAATATTGATGTCTGTACAGGTCTGTACGGACAAATCAGTCTTTCATTATGGGTTTGTTATAGGAGTGTTGGTACCTACCTCTCGAGCAGATTCCACCCAGGTTGCTTTTGTGAGGAGAGGCAATGTAGGCAAGACCCAGCTTTCCTCGGAATGCTTGATAAGTAAACAGGTGGCCTAGACACACATCCTTGAAATCCTGGACATGTGATTCACCGAACCACTGAAATAATGGCACACAAAAGCAACAATCACAAAATCACTGAAATAATGGCAGGTGTATGTGGACAGCTGAACCCAAGAGCAATCCAGTAGGATAAGTGTACTCATCTTTTCATGCCCAGTAATGGCAGGTACGATTAAAACGGGGAGAAATCTAGCCATTTCCATGCTTAGTCCTCAGATGGAGGGCTAGACCAAGGGACCAATCTTGCCAAAAGCAATCCTGGTAACAAATACATATTTATATGGATGTAGGGTTGGAATGACAACAGTTTCTGTGCTTCGACCCAGGGCCTTAGTATCTGGATCTTGTAGCATAATTGCGTCTCTTTACCCCCATTAAGCGTGTATCTGATTATAGATTGGGGATCTCAACTATATTTCCAAGTTACCCCTTTTTGGCCCTGCCCTTCAGCCCCACAGAGAGAGTCAGCTCCGCTTTTTGGTATATTTTTTTATCATTACTACCAGAAGATGCATCCTAGCGTCTGATCTAAAGTAATTTAAAGTAACACAGCCAAATTACTAGTTTTGGGCCCTCCCCAAAACCCAGAGGCTCATTTATTGTAATCATCACCATCTGAGGTTGTTTCCAGTCAAATTTGATGAAGTTCTGCTCAGCAGTTCAGAAAGAAAAGTTGTTTGAAGCAACTGAAAAGAAGACTGATGTCGCTGTACAGTATAATCTCATCTTGGTCCTTCCAACTGGGTAAGTTAATAACCACCTCGGCTATTAATAGAACCAATTTAAATAAAATGCTCCAATAAGAATCACTTGAGTAATTAATGGAATCAGTAAGGTACAACTTACATCTAGTACATTGGACATGTCGTTGACACGGCCCTTCATGTTGTAATGATTGTTGTCCCCACTGTCAGTGTACGATTCGTGGACAATTATCTACAAAACAAAGCAACATATACTATGATACAGATATATGTCAATTCAAATTTTTTAATGGGCAACAAACTAGAAATGTCTATAAGACATAAATGTCCCCAATTAGTGTCATTTCTTTTATGTTTACATTTTCACCGCAAGGTCCCCTTTAAGCATTACCAGAAGAAATTGCATTCATAGAGCTATGAACGCCATTTGATCCATATCATTTTGAAGCTCCTTTTCCCACCTTGAATAACATGAGACAACCATTGGAAGCAAACATTTTGGTGGTGTTAGGCTGTTCCAGGAATTTTGATTGCACTGATGATAAAGGAATATCTGTATTTAGGTCAATCATAACAAAAAACCATAACAAAAAACCTAAGATTTTTATATTTTTTTAATAAGGATTGAACATCATTATTTCATTGTTAAGGCAGGCTTCATGAAATGAGAAACTGATTTGTTTTCATACTGGCATGAAATTGAAACATTACTGGTCAATCCTTATACGAATTCCTAAATAGTAACAGTAAACTTAATCTTGATCACTGGGCTGGTTGACAAATTTCTATTAATAAAAATTATGGCCTTTGCCATGACCTTGGAACCCTATTACACAAACTCATTCAAGGTATCTCTCATACTTCTGAATGACCTTTGTAAAAGGTTTGATCAAACCCTTAAAGAAAATTTGCTAGTTAGTGAATTGGGATGCTACAAGGATAGAATATGCCTTCATCCCCCATAAAATGGCAGGGGCATACTAATATACCCTCTTTTGACTGCACTAGAAGAACAGCTGAGTCGGTAACAGATGTACAGACGGTTTCCCCAAGGAACAACCTTGTACTCATGTTATCATACAGCGATGCCCGTGTGTTGAGGTTAAGAACTTCTTCTTGTACATAGTTATCAAGTCTCTATGATATACAGTACCCATATACAGACAAAGCTTTCTAAGGTGCCTGCACAAGGAAGTCCAGTGCCCTATTGATTTCCTTTAGTGCCAAAATCAGTGACAAATAACCAAATAACCTTCAATCACATGACTACCACGTATTTGCAATCAATAAATCTATGTTTGTAATTTTGTATATTACCTCAAGTAATTCAACACTCAGGTTGGTGTTAAAAGACATGACAGCAGTCAAAGTGAACATGATTTTTGTATATTTCCTTTTATCACGGAATTAGATTAGATGCTATCCAAGTCTGTGCTTTTATTCTTATAAGTGATAGAAGGAATCTTAAATTTTGTTTTCATTTTAGACTTGTTCTCAAGTTTTCTTTTTAACTCAACAGTCTCCTCAAAATGAAACCTTTTAGACTTGTTTAATAATTTTCATATGGAATGGAAACTTATTTAATGTCCTGTAGGCATAGCATGAGTACATACTGGATAAAACTGAACTAAAGATAATTAACTTAAACACATGCATACCTCTGCAATTTCAAACCCTGTGTTAAATATCTCCTCCTTATTGTCAGTCCAGACAGTCCTTTTGAAGTAGCCATTGACCCTGTCTATCAGACTTATCTGTGGAACAAAACATGTATTGTGATGGTAAATTTAAGGCTGTATGCTACTGTACCTTACCATAATTTCATGCGGATAGCCGCTACACCGTATAGCCCGCACAGTTTCAAATTAGCAGCATATGTAAAACAAGAGGCCAAGAGGGTCTATATTGCTCACATGAATATTAAAGTAGTCATAGCAACATATTCTCATTAAATATTATACTGTACTACAAATGTTTCACTCGCAAACTTCGTCGGCTCCTTCTGTTGAAACTACCAGCCAAACATTATGATAAGATTCTATGCTTTTTGGTTCTTCTCCCTCCCACATGGTTTTAATCCTCCAAATATTAACGAGCTGATCAAGTTTTATTTAAATTCACATTGTAATATGCTAATATTCTGATTACCAGGTATCTTGAAATCTGGCCTCCATGTTTATTTATCTGTTGGCTAAGTTTCATCGCCATGCATTCACATCAACTGAAGTTATGATGCAGAACGTAATGACCAATCGGTCGCAAATATGTTAATGACATATATTTACATTACATGCAGAAGCGTGCCACATTGCACTTTTCTAACTCAAAAGGAAAATTATTGGGAGATTGAGTTAGGATAGAGACGCAGATTTCAAGACACAATATATTTACACAGTATCCAAAACAAATTTTGTCAGGAATATCAAAATGTTTTAGTTTATATAAGTAAGTAGTAAAATTGTATGTTTACCATAAATTCACTTGTCGGGTAGCGGTCACCTTGACCCATATTGGAGAAAAAGTAGAAGTCAGCAACTACTGCCAATCTGCACAATGTTCGAGGCCCGATGATGGGGGATGTGGCCTGACGCTTCTCTCTCTGAGGGCCTAGATGGGGCAATTCATTGTAATACATGCATAAAATTTCAATATTTAATAAAAAAAATAAAAAATGCTTTATCGACATGCATTATACCCAAACAAAATCTAAAATCACCACTTCTAACAGATTGTACAAACGCATTCTATCCAAAAATTCCAAAATGTGAGAAATGCATGTTAAGTTTTACATTCATCACATAAAACCTTTCCGTCACTTACACTGGGGAGTAAATGGGAGTGACAAACATAGACATGGACAAAGGCATGTAAGTCTGAGGTAGACATGACTGAGGGACACATGACATGACAAAGGGAGGTAAGTCTGAAGTAAACATGATTGAGGCACATATGACATGACAAAGGGAGGTAAGTCTGAGGTAAACATGAGTGAGGGACACATGACATGACGAAGGGAGGTAAGCCTGAGGTAAACATGAGTGAGGGTCACATGACAAAGCTGGCACAATATGGGAGCCTTAACCGCATTAACTAAATCAAAATCTATAAGAAACTCATAAAATGATTTATTCAGTAAATTTTTCAGTCACTTGTAAAACATTTTGTCATTGACATAAATAGGTTAATATTGACCCCTTATTTCAAGAACTAATTTCTAATTTGCAAGCGTTCAGAGTCAAATTTGGTGATAAGTAAAACCAGTCCCCATTGTTAGCTGTTTTGTCAGGTCATAACCGAACAATCTAATCACAGCAAAGTTTGCTTCTAAAGATAAGTCTGATATATACCATAATTTACTCATTCCTACCTGTAGACACATTGGAACACTTCCAATTCAAAATTTAGATTGGTTCATTATGAAATTTTAGAGACGAATGAGTTACACCTTTTTCATGATTTATGAAAATATCACTCCAAAAATGAAAAACATTTTTTGAATGAAAAAAAAATTGTTCGATGTGAAATAGATATATGCATACATGACCAATAAGCGAGATAATACCTGTACTCTCAGGCTCCGGTTCAGGTTCCTTTGGAAACAGCCTGATCCCATCGTTTAGCTCCATTCCAACAGTTTCATCAACATTAGCAAAATCTCCCCTGAAACAATTTATGCAAGCACATGTGTCAATATATGACATACCTTTCTGTCATATTCTACATAATCTAGTGGAGATTTGTTTTATTGTGGCGACACTATAAAGTGGCACCGGAGTAATGTCATCATTCCTATAGCCTACATCATCTGTCAATACTGTTGTTACTTGACCATAGCTGTTGTAAAGATGCAAAATTTCTTTTCTAAAACTGTATATTAGATGGGGCAGTACATTTACGTCAGATCACATGAAAGTAATTTTTAGGAAATTGAAGATAATCTGAGCTTTCGAACGCATTGTTATAGGAGAAATTCCATCTTAGTGCTTTTGCGGTAGAGCTAGAGTTGCTGCTGAAATGTTTTTCAATGTGACAAGGTAATCAGATGAAATGATTTTGCAGAACCATTTTGCACACTGTCTTAGCATATAATAGTTATGAAAATATATTCATGATATATCAGACAATTCTCTTTCAGAAGGTGAATTTTGATTTCAATTGCATAACAAGTAACAACCAGAAGTGAAATCTATAATTATAATAATAACACAGTGAGTCCAGCGAAGAGGGTCCTTAGAGCGGAACCCGTGCTGGAAAATATCATTAAGTAAGTATAACAATTGGCCACAGGAAAGTTCTGTAGTCTATATCAAACAATAAGATAATCTAGATTGGATTCCCTTCTCCTCATTCACATTAACAAACATTTCCAGTAGCTAAGTCATGTTTGTTCGGCGACTGACTTGATCATTTTGACAACATGTATCAATTGATTGACAAACTTACAACAATAAGCCACCAAATAAGAAATCAACAAGTATTTTATTTGTGGAAATATTTCTCTATTTGGGAAAATACATCATAATTTGGCTAGGGGAAGCAGTCATTATAGACAGCTATAGATCAACAACAACAACAAAAATGATACCAAACTTTTGACCAAGTGAGATAAACATGAAACTGTCTCATATCCATTTTTTCCTTGTTAAGCAAGACTTGAATATATTTTATTTTTTGGTATAAGTCATCATACATGTTACACTATGGAGTCAAGAATCACAACAGGACAGTTGCCCCTCTGAGAATCCTTCGCCGTGCTATAAAGTGCCCTTTTCTGTGCAAATCACTATTCCCTTTTTTACTCTGTGGGAAACACTATTGTATTGCTAATAGCAGACTTACATGACTCCTCCAATCATAGCATCAGGGTCAAACTTCACATCTGATTTTTTGTAGGTCACCATTGAGTGGTTGACAGAAGGGGGAAAGTGTCTCCATGAGGGCTGTAATACAGTACAAAGTATAAGACACAGTGTTGATTTGCTGTTGAAGGATTTACAGATAAAATTTGAAGAATGGCTTAAAATACAGGATAACATACAAGAATGTAAGTTTGTGCCTAAAAAGCTGTGCTACATCAACTTGGACCAAAACCAGGTATGGTAGGAGTTTTTCCATACTGAGTACTTCAGGCTAACTAAACACTGTTCTGTTAAACATAAAGCAACACTTCATGATTGCCACAGTATAAGTGAATTACATTATGAAAACCAGTAACACATACATTTTTTAACAAGAGGCCCAGAGGACCTGTATCGCTCACCTGAATATTTAAGCAGTCATAGCAAAATATTCTCATTAAATATTATACTATAATAGAAATATTTCACTTGCAAACTTTGTCGACTGCATCTGTTGAAACTACCAGCCAAATATTATTATATGATTCTATGCTTTTTGATTCTTCTTCAGAAGTTGTTTGAAGTTTTTGAAATATTTTTCCCTGTGACCTTGTAAGTAGGTCAAGGCAATTTTCCTTCTCAAACTTTGTTGGCGCTACCAGCCAAATCTTAAGAATCCATTCCTTTTGGTTCTTCAGAATGGTTTGAAATGTTGTTGATCTCTGTGACCTTTAAAGTAGGTTGAGGTCATTTTCATTTGCAAACTTTAGTGAGCTCTATCCAAAGAAGCCACCAGCCAAATATTATGATTCTATGCCTTTCCATTATTCAGATGATGTCATTTGATGTTTTTGACATATTTGACTCCTGTGACCCTGAAAGAAGGTCAAGGTCAAACTTTTGTCATGCTCAATCTTAAGAAGTTACCAGCCAAATATTAAGATTCTATACCTTTCAGTTCTTAAAAAGAAGTTGTTTGAAGTGTTTGACACATTTGACCCCTGTAACCTTGAAAGTAGGTCAAAGTTATTATCATTCTTAAACTTTGTCGGGCTCTATCCAAGGCATCCTCGATAGTCAGGGGTTACACTAACTTTCGTTCTCTACACCCCTGGAATATGTCATAGCAAAATTGAAGGCTCGGTGTGCGCCACCTTGTTAATGAGACAAGAAGACTAGTTCGATCCTTTGATGTACATCAAAAGAATATTGCGGTCATGTAATGGTAAAAGTCGGGCGTCTCTCCTTTGTAATCTTCACAGAAAGGTATCAAGCCTAGCGATTGGTTAGTTTTTTTTATCTGAGACCAATCAAACAGCTATCTTGGTGCCTTCAATTTTGCTATGACATATTCCAGGGGTGTACATTGCGAACGTGATCATAACCCCTGGATATCGAGGATTTATCCAAGGAAGCTTCCAACCAAATATGAAGATTATATACCTTTCAATTATTCAGATGGAGTCTCTAATGAAATGTTTGACATATTTGACAACTGTGACCTTGAAATTAAGTCAAGATCATTTTCATTCTCAAACTTTGTCTGGCTTTATCCAAGGGAGCCACCAGCCAAATACGAAGATTCTTTACCTTTTAGTTATTCAGGAGAAGTCATTTGAAGCATTTAAAATATTTGAACGCTGTGACCTTGAAAGTAGGTCAAGGTCATTTTCATTCTCAAACCTTGTCATGCTCCATCCTAGGAAGCCACCAGCCAAATATGAAGATTCTATACATTTCAGTTCTTCAGAAGAAGTCCTTTTAAGTGGATGACAAATTTGACCCCTGAGACATTGAATGTAGGTCAAGATCATTTTCATTCTCAAACTTTATCAAGCTTTATCCAGGAAGCAACCAGCCAAATATGAAGATGCTATGTCTTTCAGTTCTTAAAAAGAAGTCGTTTGAAGCGCTAGACATATTTGACCGCTGTGACTTTGAAATAAGGTCAAAGTCATTTTCTTTCTGAAACTTTGTCAGGCTCTTTCCCAGGAAGCAAACAGCCAAATATGAAGATTCTATACCTTTCAGTTCTTCAGAAGAAGTGGTTTAAAGTGTTTGACATATTTGACCCCTGTAACCTTAAAAGAAGGTCAAAGTCATTATCATTCTCAAACTTTGTATGGCTCTATTCCAGAAAGCCACCACCAAAATATGAAGATTCTATACCTTTTAGTTCTTCATAAGAAGTCATTTGAAGTGTTTGACACATTTGACCCATGTGACCTTGATGGTAGGTCAAGGTAATTTTCATTCTGAAACATGGTCAGGCTCCATCCCAAGATGACACAAAGCCAAATATCAAGATTCTGTATCTTTCAGTTCTTCAGAAGAAGTCATTCAAAAGCGTTTAACATATTTGACCCCTGTGACCTTGAAAGTAGGTCAAGGTAATTTAAATATTAAGATTCTATACCTTTCAGTTCTTCAGAAGAAGTTGTTTTAAGTATTGGACACTTTTAACCTCAGTGACCTTAAAAGTAGGTCAAGAGTCATTTTGTTCTCAAACTTTGTTGGGCTCTTACCAACAACACAACCAGCCACATATTAAGATTCTATACCTTTCAGTTCTTCTTCAAAAGTCGTTTTAAGTATTTGACACGTTTGACCCCTGTGACCTTGAAAATGGGTAAAGGTCATTTGCGTTCTCAAACTTTGTTGGGCTCTTACCAACATAGCTACCAGCAACATATTAAGATTTCATACCTGTAACTTCTTCAGAAGAAGTCGTTTTAAGTATTTGACACTTTTGACCAATGTGACCTTGAAAGTAGGTCAAGGTCATTTTTGTTCTCGAACTTTGTTAGGCTCTAACCAAAGAAGCAACCAGCCACATATTAAAGATTATATACCTTTCAGTTCTTCAGAAGAAGTTGTTTTAAGTATTTGACACTTTTGATCCCTTTGACCTTGAAAGTAGGTCAAGGTCATTTTCGTTCTTAAACTTTCTTGGGCTCTTACCAATGAAGCTATCACCTACATATCATGACTCTAGGCCTGTCCATTCTTCAGAAGAAGTAGTTCAAAGGAAATGTTGCTGGACGGACGGACGCCAACGGGACGGACAGACGACAGAAGCTTTGCCATGGCATAAGTTCACTAGCCCTTCGGGCAGGTGAGCTTAAAATTAATTGTCTGATCAAGAAAACTTCCAAATTCATGCATCAGGAAAGAAAATTCCAGGATCTTTCATAACGCTCTGAAGTATTAAATTAGCAAAATATTTGATAATTAATGGACTTCATTTCTATGCTTTGTAAGAACATGGGCAAAAATGCATTTTAAATGCAGAAACTTTTGATTATGTATGATGCTCAAAAGTTGCATCTGTAAAATATCCCTGATAAGTACATTTGTGGTCTGCTATCCATCTTAGGCCTATCATTACCATTGATGTACACTCATTATTAAGGACTTGCCCACTGGCAGATTCTAAACAGCTCTGGTTATATTTTCATAGCAATTTAGCCCTAGACATCAGACTAGTGGAATTGTAACCTCCTGTTCATCATGCTTGAAACTTCTGAGCCTGAAACTTAACAATTTCTTCTTCTGTTAATGTTACTTTTTGTATACACAAACCTGTATTGACCTCAATAAATGGCTGTAACTAATCAGTTATAATAATTTACCTCCACATAATAAACCTCGTCTTTTGTTGCTATGCTGGCTGTCATGATCTCACCATCCCAGAGAACATGTGCAGAGGAGTCCGGGTCATCTGAACCATATCAATATAAATAAACTACTCATAATATCATACTACCTTGCTGTCACAAGAACATCCTTTCTAAAAGAGTTCTACATTAAGTCATGTGAAAAACCGTATAAGCACATAAGTTGCATTTGTTTAATTAATTTATAAAATAGATAAAAAGCTGCATTAACTGCTAACACCTTGACAGGTTTTTTTTTATTTTAATGGGTTTTTTTTAAGATACCTAATATGGTAAATATGTAATATTTACAATTATAGACGTTTGTTGAGGTGAATATGTGACTGACGCAAAGTCGAGGTTAATATCACTTTCTCAGGTCCATATTACCAAATATTCACATATTCACTGAAATCAAGTCTTTAATTGCTATACATGTACCGGTACATGTATTAGTTTTTAAATGAAGTTTTAACCTTTGAAAAAGGAGAAAATGTATGAAAATTTGCGGGGTTAAGTATTGCATTTGGGAGAAAGCTTTGCGATGTCACATTTGAATTGACATCATAAATTGAAAATCAACCATTATTTTCTTCAAATATGTAGTGAGACAGAGACAATATAACAAATCAACAACTTTCATGTCACTATGATCCAGCCAATGAGAACGCAGGAAAAATGTGTATCATCTAATATTATATATGTAACATAAATAAAGTATATTTCTCTCATTTCTCTGTGTGTAAGCTAGAGCTGACCAGGGTAAGAAAGGGGTGTAGGAAATTTCTATCTTACACCCCATTTCAGGTGACGTGATGTCACAATGGAGATATTTTAATCTAAATTTTATAGGCCCTTTTTGAATAAAAATCAAGCTGAGGAGAGGAAGGGCCGACAAAAAAAATATTGTACAAACAAAGTAAGAAACCGAACTGATCATAAAGTCATACAGGGTTTCCCAAAAGTACTGGACTGTCCGGTTTGATTTGGATTTGCTTTGTTTAACGTCCTATTAACAGCTAAGGTCATTTAAGGACTTTATTGGACTGTCTGACAAATCTGGTGAAAATCTGTTTGGTCAAGTATTATCTACCCAGATGTCCGATCGTCATTGTATTGAAATGTTAGTTATAATTTCTTTGTTGGTAAATGTGTTTGGTTCAATACATACATCGATACAATAGTGTGGAGTTGTATACTCAGTATCTTATACTGATGAAAAGATTGGTCATATAAAATCTTATTTGTTCCTATGAAAGTCTAGTAACTGTCTAACCGAATGTCCTGTGACAGTGGAAAGTTTTTTGCGAACACTGGTAATAAACCTTCATTCTTAACAGAAATCTTTATCATACATACCATAAAGCTTCCCAGATAGAAATTTTCTCCTGTCAACAGAGAAAGACTCCTTGCTCTCCCCATTAATTGCGGTTGCTTTGAAGTCTGAACTCAATACAGAAGACTGCTTCAATGCTAGGTGGAAATCTCTGAAAACACCAAACACATCAGATCATCTACAAAGATAAGACTGAAATGTTATGACAGCACTGCAAATTGCTAATATGAGAGTCCAATAAAAATGTCCTCACCCCCACCCCCCTTATTTTTTTGGCATAATTATCCTTTAGAACAAGAAATTAGCTTGGTATATATATATATGGCATTATGTAGGTATTGTGTTATAAATTTTAGTTATTCTATATTGTTTCCAAATATCTTATTTAAAATCTAATTTTACATATATCCAAATTCATTGTCAGATTTATCCTAGTTCACTCTACCCCAGTGCCCCCTGTTTTAAGGCCACCCCACAGCCTTGCCCTTTATTTATACAACAGTTCTTCCATTGGGCCTGCCCATCTGCCCCATGGGTTGGTTGGTTGGTTGATGGGTTTATAGACTACGCTTCATTGGCATACCCGTGTTCGGTCGTCTTGAAGGGGTAAGACTCCAGCTTACCGGGCCCTCGAAGATTCAAAACCACCTTGCCCATCCAGGTCACGCCCTAAGGTCGGTCAGCTCCTTAGATGCCGATAGGCTGTCGCAGCTACATACAGCACGCATACGGGAACACGTGAAACACATCCTTTAAGCAGCTTCACTGCCCCATGGGGGACCAATACCCTTTATGTACATAACACAGACTCCCCTTAGCACAGAGACGCTCCATAAACATCTCCTCTGTTAGTCTGTACTAATCATAAGTCTTTTAAAGAAAAGCTGACAGATTGATGCTTACCTGCCCATTGTGTTGAACCAGATTTCTTTCATGTCAAATCCTGGTTTGTTATCAGCGCTTCGCCGAACACGCAACTTAATGTCAGTAGTTCGCATTGTCTCATAGTAGTGGAGCTTGTCAGCTATACCAGCTAAAAAATTAAATATAGAATGTATACATCTCTTTGAATGATATTGCAATTTGGCAACTCAAATCATCAAGGCAGCCAAATATATCTGTTATTCCAGGACCTCTATCTATACTTACTGTAATGGTTCTAATAATCACCTACCCCTCCACTTGTTGGGCAAAGTATCCAACAAAGATATTCTTTTCCGCTAAATTTTGAAGCTATCCCAAATATTGGTAGTTGTCATTTAAGTCAAAATGTTAGATTGATGCATCTGACAAAGTTCACTTTACAATATTTGCATTATGTCTGTGTTAACTGCCCATCCCCCTTGTGACAATGGTTTCAACGTAGCCCTGAAATTGTCATCATAGTTTCCGATAATTACTATTCATGGATTGATGCAGATTACGTAAAAATAAACTAACAAAACATAACAAAATGGATAAGTCCATCCTTTAAATGTCATAAATGCTAGCGACAGTTTTAAAATGGCATCGTTAGGAAGCCAATATACTTGGCTTTGTCTTAATAAAAGTGCAGAAGTCCCATGAAATAGACCAAACATAAAGTTAGACAAGCATTATGCATGCAGAAGCTCATAATTAGTTTTTTCTTTGCATAAAATGCATTTTCAGTGTACAAGTATGGATGCAATGCTGTGTACAGATCCCCAAATTCCGAAAAGACCATCAACACTAACTTGATCCCCCAAGGCCTAACTTCATGACATGTGTGGTTGTTAATTTCAATAATACCCAACCCACTTCTTTAGTGTTATCATTTGTTCTAATTGCCGGGCTGATATAAGAACCAGTATCGTACTTGTACTTACATCCCAAACTCACGCTGACTTTTTTCAGCTGATATATTGGGAGACTAATTTGCCAGAGTTGTTATTTAACATTCATTCATTCATTTGAATTTCCTTTAGGTCAGTGGTAGAGCGTCCGTCTAGGAAGTCTGGGATCGCGGGTTTGATCTGCAGTGGAAGCACACTACTCTCTTTCCTATAACAGATGGTGTCCGTAGCACTCCCTTTGCTGACAGGGAGTCAGGACCTGGGTTGTTGTGGTGTTCATTGGCAAACACATTTGAAAAGGGGGAGTAGTGTGGCAGATTTAAATGTATACATCAGATTATGATCGCCTTTTAGCTTCGCACTAGAAGGATTTTCCCTTAGGCTCAGTGTTAGAGCATCCGACAAGGAAGTCTGGAATCCTGGATAAGATCCCCAGTGAAAGCACACTACTCTCTTTTCTGTTACATATCTTACTATAATTGATGATTTGTCTATTGGATCTTACATTGATCATGAATGATGTGAACAAGAGGGACGCTACATAAAAGCAAATGGATTACCTTGCAATTAACTTCAACATTAGGATTATAATCTGTTATACTCTCTACAGGTATATATATATATGTCAGATCATGTTTTTATTAATTTTCAACAGAATAGAAATTGGGATACTAACATGGCACAGGCAGAATATTGTCATGTTCAGCCATGCATACAAAATCTAGCCTTACAACAAGTTTGTACTTCAGTACTATAGTATATATATATGGTAGTCATGCGTGACCATGATGGAAAAATGATAACAGCCTTAGTCAGCGACAATTTACATGTTTACTACTGAAATATATAGAGTCCGGAGGCATGCAATTAACACTATACAGTTCCAACGTTTTTTGTAGTATTAACTACATATTAGTCTGTAATTCAGATCAAAATGACAGCAAAACAGCACAGTGACAGTAAAAATCGACAATATTTAACTATGGTATGTCACTGGTATACCATACTCCAACAGTGTTAGAGATTTACACGGCCAGATACTTTTGACAGGCGCCATGTTGCAGTCGGCAAAGTCATATCCGATAGAAAAATAAGGCCGACCAGCGACCTCTTATGATAGGAGCATGGTATACCAGATCTAGTATATCAGTATTTGACCATCTTTTAAGTTAAACTAGATTATCATTTATGGGATTTGATTTTAGTGTGTATGCAAAAATAAAGAGCACATTTTTTTGTCCTTAAATGTGCTAACTTGGCTACAGTAAGGTTTATGGAAATCCAAACACTACTGAACACCTGAAGGTTGTCTGCTATTTATGGACGTTTGCTAAAAACGAATTTTTCCATTTTTATACATGTGCATGCCACGACCACGAAAATTTACATGAGACATCCTCAGTTAAATGGAACACAGCTTTGAGATAGGGCAATTGAAGAGAAATAGCAAAATGGGAGGAATGTATAGCTACTGCAACTTTCGTTTTGACAATGCGGAACCTTCTTCGTCGTCTGTTCTAAAGATCTGTTAAGTGTTGCTGAAATTTCCTTTAGTTAAGGGGGCAAACATATTAGTATCATATCAATTATGATTACTTACAACCCCACACAATGTGGTAATGGCATAATAGGACGATTATCCACAGTAAGGAGGTTAGTCTCTGCATTCTGTCAAAAATCCCAACTCTTTGGCCGCGCCTGACTCAACCGGATGTTTGGTTGTTTTGACCCTAATCGAGCATTTATCCATTCAGATTTGGGATGAGCAATATGTATTTTTATAAATAACACATATCTTATCATAATCACTTAACATAAATTTATTGGTGATTTTTTTTCAATAACACAACTTTTTAAATTTTGAAAATCGTTTCATAAGATATTCTTTTAAAGGATATAGAAATGCCACTTTGAATCCTTTTCCTGTTTTTACACGAGTTATCTCTCTTTATCTACTTCCGTCAAGATATAATTTTTGATTTTTTTTTTTTTTAAATCAATTCAAATTTTTTAGTCAAATGTGACATCGGGGCTTTATTTTTCCTTATGTTTATCTAGGTAAAACGCTAGATATATATCTTTTATCTTCTATATCTTTATTTGATCATTTATGTGCACATTGCGATAATTATCTGCTTGCTAAATAAATGTATAAAAGTGATTGTAAGCCTTTAGGTGTTTTTTCACAATTATAACTAATACTATTATCCATATGTTGTAAAGCGATTTAGAGTTATTTTGCAAATTATATAGGGCGCTATATAAATGTTGTATATTATTATTATTATTATAAGAACATTAATCGAATTTGCATGATACCTTAATTTACACGTTATTCATAGTATAATGACAATGAATTACAAAAGAAATCTAAACAAATAATTAAACAAACGAATAATTAAGTTAATAAAGCTAAAATTAAACATAATTTTTAAGAAATTTCAATAACAAAATACAAATGTAAATTCATTCAATGAAATGAATGAAATTCAAAGTTTTAAAGAATTTAAAGAAAACATTACCTTTTTAATCATTGTGGATTATACCATTAGCCATTTTAACTTATTTCAAATGCAAAAGAGTCCAACTATAGCCTACTATGTATGATTCCCAATTGGGTTGAAATGAGAATTTTACCCCTGACCTCACACTGCCCTTGCAGCTACAAGCTGACTAAATTACACTTCAATGGTGATACCAAAATATAAGAAAATAACATTTGAAGTTCCTTCAACACACTTGACCGTAACAGTAGCTTAAGGTCATTGAATGGGGTTGATTGTCAGCGACCTGTCGAGGTAGTTCAAGTGGTAGAGTATAGAATTCAGAGAGTCACGGGTTCGAACTCCTGAGTCTCGCCGTGCATTTTTCCATCTCCTGTTACATTTGGTTTCTATGACCAAACCCTTGTTTCAAGTAATAGGTGAATGCTTGACAAGGGGATACCTAGGCCTGAACATGGGTTGTAAATAGTGTTGTATTTGAGGGCAAAGACTTGGAAGAAGGAGTGAGGAATGTAATGAAACTGGACTGGGTCAACCGTCGGCGACCTGAGGTAGCTCAGGTGGTAGAACTAGAAAGTCTGTCTACAGTTCAGAGGGACACTGAGGTTCAAATACCAGTCTGCCCGTGCATTTTTCTGCTCCTGTTACAATTTTAATACATTCTATATAACTCTTTATCCCAGACAGTTATAGTTGTGGCAAGAATAAGTTGTACATATTGTTCTCGGATCGCTTCATAGATTTGTGATAGAGTGAATATTTTCGCATAAATAATTGAGCTTAATTGGTAGAGTAACAGACAGGGAAGCTGAGGGTTGCTGATTTGATCCCTGATTGAAGCGAATTGTTCTCTTCTTATAATGTCACAAACAGTGTCTGTAGCCCTCTATATGGTGACAGGAAGGTGTTGTGGTGTTTGAAGGTGAACACATTTAAAAAGGGAGGTGTAGTGTGGCAGGTTCTATTTGTACATATGCTCATGGTTTCCTTGTAGATTCAAGTTAAAGTGATCTTCTTTAGCTCAATGAGTAGAGAGGCAGATTGAGAAGCTTGATTCAAATCCAAATGAAAGCAACAAGGTAACTTTAGGTAAAATTTTGAGATACATGATATTTCTTCAGAACCTAGTTTCCAATCCATATACTAATAATACATGTAGAACTATTTCTAGAATTGTTTTTTAGTAAACTCCATCATGAAGTTGCAGGTAAGGGGTAAAAGAACTATATTTATCTGGGTGAATCCGTCACAGGTCAAGGACATAAAAGATGAACTCTTCCAATTTCATTCACTGATAGTTTCTGTTCCATACCCTCTTTTATCCTCATCTTCATGCAGTTGATGTTTTTCTTAAAATTCATATATCGCAACTGTCACAACAGGTGCCTTTGGGCTAATGTCATTGCTCAGTATCCAGTCTTCATGCAGGCAAGGATTTTTGTTCTATAAACATCATCTACTGATCATGAACTATCAATAAGCCTAGGGTAATGATGCTTAGCCAGTAACATGCTGAAATTGAAAGACTTGGAACCATTCTCAAGGTCAAAGGGATAAAAGATGTCAAAACCTATTAACAACCGTAGGGTCTTGGGTAATGATGTGTGGCCTTAAATGTAACAGAGAAGTAAAGCTCCACTTTGAAGGTCATAAGGGTACTGTAATACAGTAATGTGTTGAAAAAATAGTTTTTATGAATAATCCAGGGGACTATAGGGTCAAGATATTTGGACTTGAGCACGCTAGTGTAATATATGACTTAATTACTTTTACCCACATAATCAAAGTCATAGGTAACAATGTGTAAATATCATTACAAAATTACATCTGAACAACCTAAAGAGGTCTAGTTAAAAAATATTCAGACAGCAGCATGCTAGTATGAATCATCCTGAACCACTTAAAGGTCATAGGGGTAAATTGTGTTACAAACTCTAAATTTCATCTTTAGAATAATCAGGAGGCCTGGGTTCATGTTTGGTCTAAAGGCTTACACATTTGTTTGATCTTCTGAATGCAAAACAATGAGGCAGAGGGTCATGATATATGAAGGTCATAAGGATCAAAGGACTATGTATGGTTTGGGTGTGTTTTGGCCCCCAAATGCATCAAAATTCAAAACCTTTAAATGAACTTTGAAATGACTGTTTATTTTATTTTAAATACTCCCCATACACTGTCATGAAAATATTTATTTGAATTTCTATTTATTGTTGCCATGGTAACAAGTTCAAATTTGCATAAACTAGAAAAAAATGAATATTCAGTGAATTTTGTCATATTTTGCAAAGTTTTTCTCCTGGAAACTTTAGAGCGCATGCTTGAACAAACTCAAAATCAAAGGATAATGTGTAGGCACCTGTAATACATCTTTAGGAGAAATATAAAGTTTGTTCAAGATTGCACTCTATGGTAACTAAGAGAAAAACTAGGCAAAAACCTGTCAAAATTTACTGAATATTCAAATTTCATTAATTTATGCAAATATTAACTGGTTACCATGGCAGCCATAATTGAAAACCTAAATAAATGTTTACATAATAGAACCAGGGAAGTATTCAAAATTAAAGAAACAGTCATTTGAAAGTTCTAATGAAGATATTTAATTTTGATGGATTTGGGGGCCAAAAAAGGCCCAACCATCCTTTGTTAAAATTTCTAAATGCCCACTGCTGTATTAAACCTAGGGGTCAATGGTCATATTTGGCCTGTAGCATGCATGCTAGGTAAAAAAAAAACACACTTTAAAAATGTGTTAAGAATAATTATCTTAACCCATTTCCAAGGTCATAATTAGGTCAAATGTATCAAACTTCTTTAAACTACTATATCTGAATAATCAAGAGGTTTAGAATGATGGTATTTGACAAGAATCACACTGGGATAAAGGGCTATTTAATTTGGTACAAATGAAATGACACTAGCCCAACAGTGTTTTAATTCATACTGGTTAAATACGTTAAAACTGTCTTCATTCCTTCTTCTGCATTAACTAGAAGGCCTTAGATAGGGCTGCGACATTTGGTCTGTAGCATACCGAGATAATTAAGGCTAAAACATGTATTCAAGTTAATGACCTTTACTCTTCTAATCAAAGTAATAGAGGTCAGTGTTTTATTTCTGTAATAATGTATGTATTGTTTAAGCACGGACTTAGATAATAATGTAACGGTACAGGATAGCCCAAAACGTATCACTTCTGAAACGCATATCACTTTCTTTGATGATTGAAGCGGCGGTTTTTTCCCCCAAAGCACGTAAGTTATCGCGCTCTCTCGCAGTTTCTCGCAACATCAAAGTGACGGCAGATATTTCCTATGCCGAAGAGGCAGGTGCCTTTCCTTCTAATCTAATTCCGTGGTTTAAGTGAGAACCATTGTTTAGCTCGGCTGGCCTGAAGGAACAAGTGAACTTCTATGGGATGGCACAGAATCTGTCATCAGGTTGTCAACTTGGCATCATATTGTTTCAAACTAATTCTTCTAAATAACAATTAGACTTAGTGTGATATTTTGCCAGCAGTATGCTGGGATGAAAGGCAATCAAGTAAATGGTTCAAATAAATTATCTTGACCCATTTTCAAGGTCCCAAGTGTCAAATGTGTAAAAATCTTTGAATTTCTCCTAAAGATCATTGATGTCTAGAATAATATTTTGCCTGTAGCTTGCTTGTGTGAATGGCTATCAAGTTTGTCTGAATAAATTACCTGAACCCCTTTTATGGTCAAAGGGGTAAGAGTAATGAAATATCTTTTATTGCTAGCTAGCTTGGTTATCAGGTAATTTGACTATGACCCACTTCAAATGTCACAGATGTGATGTGTTTGCAAACAGCATTGCATAACAGGTGAGGGATGCAGGCCCACTGGTCCTCTTGTTGTCATTCCATCAAATGTCAAGGTCATTCATTATGTTCTTAAAATAAATGTGCTATAAAAATTAAATGAGACAAATGTTTGACATTATTTTTCAAGGAACAGTACCAACTTGTTAACATGAAATGACAACACAAACCAGCATATATAATGTTCATAAATTTATTCATTAATTATCGTCTGTAATAATCAGCAAGGAAGACCAATCAATTTAGTAAAAATTGCTATAATGCAAAATTTCTATTATGACTAATTGTCAAACTGACCTTGACCCCCAAAAAATAAACATGACATAAGCATACTAAGATTTTAATTATTTTTAATTGTCGGGCATATATTAAAATTGTAGAGACATGAGTTACATGAGTAACTATATGATATATAAATATTTGAATGAATGAAAGAACTTTTTTCACATTTTTTCATGGGAACGTAATTACTTTGATTTAAACATCACTGGGTACAGGGACGTATAATGTATATACTGTCCCTGCTGGGTACTATCATAATTTAATCATGATTTTTTTAATAACATAAATTTAAAACAATTAATGTTATGGAGGGGTCAAAGGTCAAAATAAGCTGCTATGTTTCACATAGCTACAATGACAATGATTGGTTAAAACTTGCTCACACTTAACAAATTGGATAAAAAAAATGTGTCTTGACTAGAAAATCACTGGCTGTAATACAACAACCCACGAAAGACTTCATAACTGAAGTTGGAATACCGTAATTATTCCTACAGTTAAATGCTTTATATTTAATATCAGGATCGTTATGTACATGTCTCTATATATAGTATACACACTGTACATGTATATACATGGCAATAACTATACCGTATTCACCATAATAACAGCCCCCTTTTTTCCTGTGTTATTCACCCCCTCCCATTCTTTGCTCGCTACAATAAAGTTGTCACCTGTAATTTTTCTTGTAGCACTGTTCATGTGGACAACAGATAACCTAACATCAGAAAGACACATTTTCATGTAATATCATCCACTCTTTATCATTAAGAGTCCTATAGAATTTTAGAAAATCGGTTTCAAAATGCCACACATAAAAAAAAAAAATATGACCACAAAAAATATTCAGTTTTAGATTCTTTTAAAATAAAAATAAAATCTTTAACATAAATGATTTGACTTATAAGGCATATTTTCTTACGTTTAAACATTTGTTAGATAGGACATTACATTCAGTATTTGTTTAAGGTGTCTACAAACATGATGAATGATCTTCAAAAAATTCACTTAACGATATGAAAAATATTTAGGCAGTTTCGTTTATATAGTTTTTAGCATGTTGTAAAAACTGGCAGCATTTAGGAACATGTAACAATTTTAAAACAAGTAAGAATTATCTCCCCTATACTACATCTTGTCATGTAAAAGATGTGGAAAATTAGTGTAACGGGCCTTAACGGTCACCTTGGTCCTACAGTATATATTTTTGTTGTTGAAATATGAAGAGGAGATAATTTACCAATTTGGCTGAAAAATAGTTAAGTATAACGTTAAGAGTAGATTGTCAGGACCATGAGTTGATCATCCTAGACCAAATTTCAGTTAAAACGGCCCATTAGAGCTTGATTTAAAGTTTGAAATCTTTTTTTTTCAAAATGGCCACCATATTAGATTTCTGATCAACCCAAAAAATAACAACACTTTGTCAGGACCATGAGTCGATCATTCCTACCAAGTTTCAGTTAAATTGGCCCAGTAGAACTTGACTTTAATTAAGTTTAAAATAGTTTGGTCAGGGAGATGTCAGTAACATTCCCATGAAGTATCAATGAAATCCCCTTAACAGTATTTCAGCTTAAGTTGAAAATGTCAAATGCTAAAGCTCAGGTGACCTAAACAGACTCGTAGAGATCAGAATTGAAGTACATTGTATCTATTTAATATTCACAATGTTAAGTTTATGAGTATTATTTCTAATGGTTAACTCATACTCGCAAGGAACAGTTTACGGCGTAAACAAATCCCATCCTTCTGATATCTGCTTGACTAGGCTTTCTTAATTTAAAATATACCCATACGATAGATCCATGGTTTTATTGTCATATCATCTGGGGCGTAAAAAAGTTTATAAATTTTGGGTGATTTTATCGCGCAATTATCACCAGAGTAATAACAGGCCTCAACACATCCAAACTTACAAGAATATTTTTACAATGATTAGGGATTTTGAATGTGGAAAAATTTGATCAGATATCTATGATGTATGCTGACATTAAGTACTGGAGTCACTGGGTGCAGTTTTGGTTTGGTGTAAGAATGAAACACCTCATATGAATATCTTTGGATCCATTATAGATAATTTCCTAGATTGCTAATCTTTAATATCAATACAGTATTTTAGTATCACCATCAGAAAGAAAAAAGAATGCAGAAATGATACTTCAACAGTTACCTATTATTTTTTAGAAATAGTCATGAATAAAAAAAAAAGATGTTCCAAGAAATTCTAAGAGCTCTATAATGACCTGTAATTTTTTTACAATTAGTAAATATATAATAAAACATGACTGAAGTTAGTATTTTTTGAAAAGGATGAAAACAATATAATCTGCCATATATTAGACCAATTAGTTTAGAAACTATTTGATGGAAAAACCTTAGTACATGTACGATTTATATACTTAAAAATGCCTTGTTAGTATATATGTTTACACTATATCCGTGTACACATGGAACAAATGAGCAGAAACACAGATGTAATGTCATCCAGCCTTCTTCAGTACAACTTGTTCAGTCTAGCGGTACACCACAGATTTTCATATCAATGAAACCATTCTCATGCTCAAACACAGATTTTGTGCTCAAGCCAAATTTCTTTTTCCAGTTATATTCCCATTCTATCAGCGATATGGCAAAATGTTGGCGAACTGTCAGGCAATATCCAATTCAGATGTTTACAATTGACATTTTGATTGTGTCACATGATTTAAGTGAGTTACAAAAAAAATAGTTTGAGCACGGAATCCAGATTTGAGCATTCTAACGGTTTCGTGAATGTAGGCACTCATGTAGTACCAGTAATGGAGGCTATGGAAATTCTACTACAGAGTTAGAAGTCAGGCACTTTCACCCTTTATTAGTGTATATGTAGGAGGAACAGGACCCAATTATAGCCGGTTTCAGTTTTAGGAAATTAATTACCAAGGTTTTAATCATTCCTCTTACTCTCCTTCTGGACAGTTTTCATAATCTCTTATCATATAGACTCTCAATGTTTCTTTGGTACCTCATTAGTTTAACCAGAGTGTAACCTCTGGCTATTTCAACCAAACAAAAGACATTTTTGACAGATAAATGTCTGGGTAAGCATTTATCTTGTGACAAAATATACCTATAGTCAGGCAGAAAGGGCCTGAGGATAGTCAGACTACACGGTATGTACTTTTAAGTGACCTGAAAGGGAAATTGTAACTTGTAAAATCTGCCAATGTCAAGATCTTTGGAAAATATGATCATGATATATTAATACGATAGTGAGTAATATAAACCTGGAGAATACACATTTTATGACATTCTCTGGAGAAAATTATATCTGGTTTCAGTAAATGAGGAATGAAGAATTCCATGAAAAATTTGGCACAAAAAGATGATATAATCCCTAAACAATTTAACATATACTTACTTTAGCAAGGATTTTATTTTAGCAGAAAAAAAAATCAAGATATGTTTCATATCTGTACTAGTTATCTAGCAGAATATGCTAATTAGCTCATTTAATTGTGACCATATATGGCAACCTCAACCTTATATTTCAGTACTTAAACAGAATTTCGCTAATATAAGTATGTTATAGCTCATGAGCCGAACCTTGGAATAGAAATCTAGAGGTCAAATCCTTACATGGCAGTGAAAAACAGCAATCAGTTCACTGATTATGAAAAAAGGTTCTGTTGCATATTCGTCATGATGCTGTTATGCTAAACTCATTATGAAATTTAAGAAGTAATCTCTTCCTCATAGAGTTTTCAACTACACATGAACAAGTTCCACTTTGTAATCAGTCGTTATTAAAACTGTATCTAATTCTGAAGAAATTTGAACCTCAGTTCTGATACCCATATACAAGTATATATATATTTTATTTTTGTATACATATACATGTACTTGCTATGTAAGTTCACAGGTATCTTGTTTCAAATCACTCGGAATTCTTGCACATATAATAAATCTGATGAGGATTTCCAAAAACTGTTTTGGTAATAAGTACAGGTTAGCACCATAATCCTTATTGCACTTAACGACGACCCCTAGCACACAGACTCCTCTCCATTGATCGACATGAGTTTTATGTCTCTACTCTCCAGTTCCAGGGTCAGTTGTTCCACTTCTGCTTCAAGAAGTTTATTTTTACGAAACATTTGTACGTAATTTAACTGAAGTTGTTTTTGGTAGCGAATCACTTTGTTCTTTTCATCTGCCCATTGTTCCCTTTCTTTGACAAGGGTATCCTGATGGACATCAAGTTCCTCCTGAAGTCGCAGAACCTCCTCATTTAGACCTTCTCCGGCCAAGATGGAGGTCCCAGGAGACACAAGTCTATCACAGTTAGAGTTAGGAGACTTGCCTCTGGATTTTAAATCTTTGTCACAAACACAAGACATATCAGTTTCCATTGAAGATTCTATCGAAACTCTTCGCAAATTTTCTTTTAAAGACTGAACCTCATCAGTTCTTGCAACAATTTCTCTAAATTTTTCGCCGATTTCCTCATCCTTTTCCGAGAGTTCCTGTTGCTTGTCCTCCAACTCTTTGCGTAGTTGAACAACCTCCTCAGTTTTAAGCGCAAGACTGTCGTTCAGGCTGTCCATCGTAAGGTGTAAGTCACCTACACTTTCATCCGAAATTGATTTATTATGTGATGAAATGTTTGCGATTTCTAATTGAAGTCTCTCAGTTTCCTGTGAATATGACTGTACTTTTGCCTTCAGCTCTTCCTTTTCGGCTTTGATTCGATCACATTCCTCTTTCATGGTTTTCTTTTCCTGCTGTAACTTGTAAACCTGCAGTGACAGAACCTGCTCTGTTTTGTACGACTTTCTTTGCTGTGTTTTTAGTTTTTGATCATATTCATCTTTGACTTGTTTCATATCATGAGACCAAGATTTTTTCTTTTCCTCATAAACTTGAAATATGGCTTTCTCGTTTTTCTCCATTACATCTCGTAATGTATTAATTTCGGCATCCTTTTCCTTCAGCATGGCCTCTAATTCTCCTACCCCACTATCACTTGGAGAAGGTGTCTGTACGTAGCCTTCCAAACGATTTACAGAAACACGACTCATATTTGATGACGGTATGGACTCGGACCGTTCTGGTGTATACTGTTTCTGACTTTGTCCATCACTTGAAAAGCTTGTCGAATGGTCACTGTCCATCTGAAATGAGCGGATGGACTCTGGCCGATCCGGACTGAACTGTTTGCTATGACCATCACTTGAGAAGCTGGCTGATCGGTCACTCTCGGTGTGAAGCGACCCATGCGACATGTTAGCAGCATTCCGCTGATTGGTCATTGGATAATCCTGCGACCCGTACCCATCATCCTGAAGAGAATACTTCCTGTTGTCCACCATTCGGCGAGTATTGACGTAATTATGGTTCACAACAACAGGCTTGAAGGCGATTGGCTTGATAATTCCACGGGCTGGTGACTGTAACGAGAAAAAGAGGGAAAAAACAATAAGAATCTCTGTTCAAACAATGACGATTGGTAACAACTTATCAGAATTTTACTATTAACAACTCCTAAATGTACATTTGAGATCAATTAGTTTGATTCAAATTTCATCTTTAAAACTTATTTACTTACAATTTCTGTACGAAAGTCCTGCATCATGTACGGTGTACATGAGTGTCTAGTATCAGGGACGTATATACTGTCCCTGCTAGTATGTATAGACAGTCAGGTGTTTAAACCTTCTACTGATTTCTGGCAATGGTTTGTGTTGATGTGTCGGAGCTTAGTTAGCGAGAAATCAGGATATCAAACAAAAAACACTTCCAGATGCTACCTTATCAGAACTCTTCATAATTAGAGACACATTTAGCATGCTGTCTGAATCTGACATTTGGCTGGGGTTAATTTTGGAAGTGAAACAAACACGAAGTTCTCTGGTACTAAAATGGACACTGTAGTGTAGGAGCGATAATTAAGAAGTGTACAATTTCCCAGAACCACATAGGTAACTCAAGAGAGATATTAATCAGATTTATTTATATCATGAATCATATCCTCTACTGAAAAAAACTTTTATGAACAATGAAACTACTGAAAATATATAAACAATTTACATGCAATATTACACAATCACATGTTTCGTTTTTCAAGAAAACATGTAATAAGTTATCATAAATAAAAAAACATTTCTTCCGTAACTTTTACTCATTTTAACTCTTCCAATTCAAAGGTATCTATATATCTGTGTATAGAATAGAGATATCCAACAAGTGACCTTCTATTATTATTTTACCCTAAAAACTTCAATCAATTCTACTTGATAATAATCGTACTAGAATGGATATTCAGTGTAATCGATGATCTTGAATTGGATATTTTGTTTCTCCTATGAATAAAGATGGTATGATGTCATACATCTATCGAAAATATAACCAGATAGGCACCACTCACGGTAGATAAATAGGGCACACTGTACATTTTAACTCCTCAGTAATGCGGGTTAAGAGTTTTGTTGAAAATATTTGTTGATCATCGAGATCACGTCGACAAAAGTTGATTTATTTTAAACATTATTGTTTTAATGTTCTAAGAAACTGCACTTATTTTATTAACAGTTTATGTAAATAGGTCAGCATGTCGTCACAAGCTGACATCAGGTATATATATAATCTGGTAACTGTGACATCAGCACACAGCACTTACCATATTAGGCTTCATGATGTTTTGTTTAAACTAGATCTGACATAATCCGTTTGAAAATCTTAGCACAGTTAACAAATATCCAGGTGTTCCTGTACAGGTGAAACTGTTACAAAATCTGCAGGACAGGTAGAATCATCAGGTACATCACTTTACCTACTAGTATCTACATTGGTAGCACTGTTACAGTTTACAGACAGGTTTAACTGACCAGGTGTGACAAACAACTCCCTCCTAGGTACATCCAAATCTATTGACATATGTCATGTGTACAGGTAACTCTCACTACATCCAGGTGTAAAACTATACCTGTAGTACATTAAATATTTGTTAAAGTACAACTGATTGTCCACTGGGTGTGAGGATTCACTTTATCCTGGTAAAAACATTAGGAATTAGCTTTCTATGCTAGGTACTCAACACACGTGTGTATCCTTTAACCAGGTATAGGTAAAAACAATTCACTTTTTTGCCAAATGAAGGCAAACAAATAAAACTGTAATACTGAAGATATATATGTCCTTCTACAGGTAAAATATACCCCAGAAGGATGAGACAAGATCTGAGTGAGAGAATGTCAGTGACAGCTGGCGAGTCGTGTGGCTGTAAATCGGGGTACGTTCTACCCTGTAATGATAACAGTGAGCTGGCCGACTGTGAAGGGACAGACACTACCCGACTCCGTCGACCTTTGCCTGACAAATGTGAAACAATTACACCCTTCCATTATCAGCACTGATATTTAAAGCATCGCACACCCTTTTCCGCTATCTAGCACTAAATCTGCGTAGATAAATGTTCCGTCTGTGATGCGACAATTATTCCAGATCACCTGTCACTGACGTGTAGTTAGAGATTACATTGCACACTTTCATGTCTGACGACAGATGATATAGGCTTAATGGCAGTCTTCCTCACTTTATCTCCAAATTTAAATAAAGTTTCAAGTACAAAGTATATAGAACCATTCAAAACCTGATTTGGACTTTAAAAACGACTTTGTAAAAGTAGGGCACAAGACAGCCTGTTCTTTACTGAAAGCTTCCGATTAATGTATTTATTTGATGTATTTTTTACACCTGAAGAATAGGCTGACACATACAAAACTTGGTTGCCAGGTAGATACCGGTGAATTTTTCATACAACTTATTGATTTAGTTTTTTTCTTTGATGTCTACTCTTACCAACGGTAGCACAGGTAATATGAAAATTGCCAACTTTTATATGATCCAAAGCATTGATAATCAATTATGATAGATTTTACACTTAATGATCCGCAATATCTGTCTTATATGACAACTTTTACAATACAGAGCTTCTGTGAGACATAATTTCACTAATTACCATTTTTTTTTCAAGGTGGGGGGAGGAAGTGGGATCGCACCTCACTAATTAGCACAACATACTATGAGAGGCTAACATCAATGTCATCAAAACGGGTACTAGGTGTCCAATCAAATCTGTTCCTTTATAGGACAAAGGAAGCAAGAATTGTTCGGAGAAGTTGGGAAGATGAAAAGTGTGGGTGCGAGACAACATACCATCACACTGTGGACTTACATGTGTACGTTCTGATTTAGTTAAATTAAATTGAATGAATTACAGTACAAGAGTAAACAGATCAATGTTCAAAGGAAATGGAAATTTCTCCCCTGTAACAGGATAGGCTGTAATTATGTGCATCAACATTCCAAATCGACAGTTCCTCGATCTTCTTGTACTTTTACCCTAACATACAAACATCCCTCTGACCTGAATCAATTTAATCTACAAAATACTTGGTTCCTCAGACATGAAGTTTCACTGTTGGTGGTTTAAATAAAAGTTGCACATGTTTTTTCTCATGAGGAATCCTTTATAATGCCAGCATTTTGCTGGAATCATGGTAAGGCAATTTAATGAGTTTTACTCTTACAGCCAATTATAAATACAGAAATAAACTGCCAGGGGGCCAAAAAACAACTTTTAGATAAATAGTATACAGTATTTGAGATATATGAACATTTTGATAATAACAATTTGTTACTTCATTACTTTGTCATTACTTGACATAAATGAAGAAAAGTTCAAAACCCATAAACAATGTGGCCTTTATAACTATTTTACTGCCACTTCCAGACAAAAATGTAGACATTCAGGTGTCAAACAATAAAACAAGCAGGTACAAATCTTACAGGTAACACTAGCCCATCTTTGACAACACTTGGTGACTGCCTCAGGTCCATTTCCCACTCAGCAGGGGAAGTAATCACACATTACCAATATCAAAGACAAAGTTATTTTATGATTATAAGTAGTATAATCACTATACCTACCTATATCCTTTAAGTTTTCTACCCTCCATCTCAAAACGAGAACACTAGACCCTTGAATCGGGGCATAGCCATACCTGAAGGGATGGGAATAAAGAAATACTGGGTGTTATTGTAACCCCCTAGGGATTTCCTTAGTGCATTTTACAATCAATTGGCTGAAGTATGTAGATCTACAGGTCGCCATTCAGGTCTGTAAGTTAATTACATGTTTGTGTTAGCATGATTTGCCAGCAGGAATTGCAGGTATGTGGCAGGTATATCTAATAATCCAGGTATATCTGGAGATGTTGATTTGAGAATTTTGTAACTGACCGTTAATGGACTCTAGGTATCCCATAATAAACATCTACAGGTTTCATATCAATCAATCAACAATGCCTCAGGATTTTCACAAATTCTGATCACTAGATTTGATTGGTCAGTCAGTTAACCACAAGATTTCAGTGGTCAGTTATTTCAACATTTGTCCAGGAGACATAAAGCTTTCCTGATAAGGCATACATCTAGATAAGTCTTGTATTGACTTACACCAAATATATCATATACATACAGGTAGTGTTTGTAGCAAACATGTCAGATATAATGTAAACCAGGAATATATTGTCATCTACCTCACACACACCTGGGACTTATCAGTGAATTTCATTATTTATACAGCTATATCCCCTGGTACTAACATGGTATCTGACCCCTAGCAATGCTGGTTATCACAGCTCAACCACTTCACAGATTTATCATTACAATCATATGCCCTATTCATCAAACTTTCCCCCATATATTTGAACAACCAGTGATTATGGAAAACATCAAATGATACATGCACTGTGGATTTTTTTTTTCTCAATTCATCAAAACCGTTGAAGAAGGAGAAGGAATACCTTTGATTTTGTTATATAAACCTTTTTTCATGGACAACCAATATGAGTCCATTCTATAAATACAGAAAATACAGCTAAGGAGTCTCCATCATAGAACACTTACTATGGCAGCATCACTTTTTATTGTTTTAGAAACCATTTATAACTTACACTTACATCATCTCTATAAATACATTTTGACTAGCTTGCTCCTGTGAAAGGAGGCCTCCATTATAGCTGTGGCCAAGCCTGAATATGATTGATGACATCAAGTTAGACAAGTTGTCAGACTCTATACACTTACAGCACACCTCCTACTTTGAAATCATAGCACTTCAACATGACCTCATTTCTTTTTTCCACTAATATTAACCCATTCATACCCTTAAAGTCACATTTGAACCTTACCAAATCAAAGACTGGGCAAGTCCAGTTTAAATATGTAGGGGTGAATGAGTTAATGGAGACAAAATGAAAGGAACCAAGAGAGAAAACGGCCCTTACAGATATGTTTGGGTTGTTTGTGTTTTACATCCTATTATACATAATTAAACAGCTGTGGGCCCACTTGTATAAAACATCTCAAAGTTAAGGAAAATCTC